GGGCCACAGGTTGAGAACCAAGTCCTAAACGGTGCATGTTTAGGAGATATTTAGGAGTAAGCTTTATCATAGGCAGGGTTGAACTGACCATTTCAGCACTCGGGCACTGCCGAGGGCCCGGGGTCAGTAGGGGGGCCCCATGAAATGCCCCTGGTATTTTTTATAGGCTTTTTTGGGTGTGCTTTGACTGTGGGCAAGGACACAGGGGCCCCATGATCCCCTATTGCCCGGGGGCCCTATGAGCTGTCAGTCCACCCCTGATCATAGGCTTACCTATAGGTCAAATTCAACCAAGGGAGCTTACTCCCACTTTAAAAGAAGTCAGGATCTGACTCAGCTGCTCCACCTATAATTAAAATATCACTTTTGGGCGGATTGCTCCTTGAGGATGCATTCACACTTGAGCGTTTTGTAGCTTGAAGCTCACAGCTCGAAACTCCAAAAATGCTCAAACTTAAAAAATCAATTGTTCTCTATGGTGCCTGTTTGTGTGATCAGGTGTGAACAGGCACTACAGAGAACAATTGATTTTTTAAGTTTGTGCGTTTTTAGAGCTTCAGGCTACAAAACACTCAAGTGTGAATGCAGCCTGAAACCATTGGACATGTAATTATTCTCCACTGAAAACACAAACTCACCTTTGCATTGACACTCGGACAGCACACAAGACATTTTTGAATGAAGCTGCCATCTTGTACTAAACAGGGGTGGACTGACGATTTGGAAACTTGGGCACTGCCCGAGGGCCCGGGGTCAGTAGGGGGTCCCATGAGATGCCCCTGGTACCTTTTTTATAGGCTTTTTTGAGTTTGGGCAAGGACACAGGGGCCCCATGGTCCCCTATTGCCCGGGGGCCCCATGAGTTGTCAGTCCGCCCCTGGTACTAAAACCCGTTTCCTGTATCTCTGCTCCTGGTTTGCACTTGCTATGCAGTAGAGTGAATACATCTCCCCTCAATGTATTCCTTCGATGATCCTATTGTATACAGTGGACCCGATTCCATGTATTATCATAATACGTGCGTGCATTGATTTTTTTTATTTATTTCAAGGGTTCCCTGGCAACAAGTGAAACCAATTATTATAGTATATCTAAAGCCAAGAACAAATATTTAATATATTGCTGTGTCATTAGTCCTTTAAAAAAAAACCTGTTGCTCCAGATAGAAATCCAGTGTCCTTGTAACTTTCTGTGCAGTGAACTGAAAGTGGTTCTAAAGTCCTAAGGCTTTTTTTTTTTACTGTAATGCATTAAAGCAGAACTCCAGTTAAAGGACAAGTTCACATTATGACAAACATAATATATGCTAATTTTTTTGCTGGTAAAAAATGTGCATTTATTATTTTTGTCTGCTATAGCGGTTAAAGTAAAACACCTTTCAGTGCTTGTTTTTCTCCTTCGCTGCCCCTTTCCACCTACCTAAGTCCTGTATCCAGCGCTGTTCCCATCCACAGAACTTCTCTCGGATGTCTCACAAGATTAGCTGAGAGCAGTGGGAGCCATTCCTCTAAGACAGTGGTCTCCAAAGTGTGGCCCTCTGCTTGCTTTTATTTGGCCCTTGGGGCATCATTCCCCCCCCCCACTGTCAGCAACAGTGGGGCATAGTTCCTGACACTGACAAAAAGACACTATTGTCCTATTGATACCAATGATGGGGCATTATTCATCACCACTAACACCAACGATGGGATACTATTCCTACCACTGACACCAATGATGGGGCACTATTCCTCCTATTGATACCATTTATGATGGGGCACTATTCCTCCTATGACACCAGTGTTTCTTCTTATTATACAGGATTTATATGGCACCAACAGTTTGCTCAGCGCTTTACAATATAACGGGAGACAATAAAGCAACAATACAGTTCAATACAAGAGGGATTTGAGGGCCCTGCTCCTTGGAGCTTACATGGTGTACTATTCATCCCATTGACACCAACAATGGGGGCACCATTCCTCCCACTGACACCAATGATGGAACACCATTCCTCCCACTAACACCAATGATGGGGCACTATTCCTCCCACTGATACCAATGATGGGGCACCATTCCTCTCACTGACACCAATGATGGGGCACTATTCCTCCCACTGATACCAATGATGGGGCACCATTCCTCACACTGACTCCAATGATGGGGCACTACTCCTCCCACTGACACCAATGATGGGGCACTATTCCTCCCACTGACACCAATGATGGGGCACTATTCCTCCCACTGACTCCAATGATGGGGCACTACTCCTCCCACTGACACCAATGATGGGGCACTATTCCTCCCACTGACACCAATGATGGGGCACTATTCCTCCCACTGATACCAATGATGGAGCATCATCCCTCCCACTGACACCAATAATAGAGCACTATTCCTCCCACTAACACCAATGATGGGGCACCATTCCTCCCACTAACACCAGTGATGGGGCACTATTCCTCCTATTGATACCAATGATATTCCTCCTATTGATACACTGATGAAGCACTATTACTCCCCTTAATACCAACGATGGGGCACTGTTCACTCCCACTGATGCCAGGATATTTTCTTCTCCAACTGGCCACAGTCTGGATCCCCAAACATTTGAAGGGCAGTAAATTGGCCCCTTGTTTAGAAAGTTTGGAGACCCTGCTCTAAGTTATGGAGCTGAGGGGGGGGGGGGGGGGGTACTGTAGTCCTAACACACTTCCTTTCCTAGAGTGACAACAACGCTGTTTGATACATACAGTAAAGCTGAGTGAGCGTTGTCACCCTAGGACAGGAAATGTGTTCCTTGTAGGTCCACCAGATGAAATTAACCACTTGACCTCCGGAAGATTTTACCCCCTTCATGGCCAGGTCTTTTTTTTTTTCATTTGACTATTGTGCGGTCATGCAACACTGTACATAAATTAGATTTAGGCTCCATGCTGGTAATAGCATTTTTCGTAGCATTTTAGTAGTGTTTAGAAGTGTTTAGGAGCATATAGGAGCATCAATGTTTTATTAGTGTTTTTAGAGTACATATAGGAAAAAACAACTAGAAAAAAGCTATTAGGAGCGGTTTAGGAGCATTTAACTTTTTTTCTGCTGGAACATGGTACAAAAAAACTCAACAAAATAATTTTTATCTACTTCTAAAAAAAAAAAATGTGTAATAGCCTAAAGTAGTGTGCATGGACACCTAGGATAACACTATTTAGCTTCTTTTAAAATAATATTATTATTTAATTTCATTTTAGTTGCTAAAAATTTTTGTTAGTAGAGTAGGGAAGGCTAGACGTCCTGGAAACATTTTGTTTGCTGTCAATTCCTCCACTTCCTGTGTGGTAAAACCATTGTCACCAGGCAAGAAATAAAGGCAATTCTATATTATGGAGCTCCAGATAGCAGAAAAAACCAACAGGGTTTCTAGTCCTTCCCCACTCTGTCCAAAATTTCACAAAATTACTGAATAACCCATTAGGAAAATGTGTATAATCATCCGCTTAAGCTATAGAGCTCTGTAAACAATACATTTATGTTTCAACAGTGTGCATTAGGAAGAGCCTGGAAAACAAGAGAAATAGAGTTTAAAGCTCCACCTACTGGCAAAAATTTGATTTTTGTTGGATTTTTTGGATTAGTGATTGCAGAGGCAGATTTACTTGTTTTGTTTTTTTTTTTCTTTGTCACATATATATTTGTATGTTTTGTGTATCTTTTTTAAATGTATTTAAAAATGTCAAATGAATCTGACAAAAAAAAAAAAAAATACGAGGTGGTATCAAAAAGTTTAGAGACTAGTTTTGTAATACGCCAACAGATGGCAGCACAAGGCTGCATGCACAGTCACAGGGAGCACCAATCCTCTTAAGTCAGTGTGCCAAAAGACATTGTCCTGTTTTGTTTTTTTTTCTTGTCACATATGTATTTGTATGTTCTGCGTATTTTTTTTTTAAATGTATTTAAAAATGTCAAATGAATCTGACTAAAAAAAAAAAAAATACGAGGTGGTATCAAAAAGTTTCGAGACTAGTTTTGTGATACGCCAACAGAAGGCAGCACAAGGCTGCATGCACAGTCACTGGGAGCACCAACCTTCTTAAGTCAGTGTGCCAAAAGACATTGTCCTGTGTACATCAGGAGCTGTGCAACTGGTGCTATTCTGACTACTTGCGTTACCAACGTCTGCTATTCCATTATGGGCAGGAATTTAAAACAAAGAGCAAACATAAAATTCTGCGTTTGACATGATTCGGCAAGTTTACTAGCTTCGAAACCTTTTGATACCACCTAGTATTATCAAAAAGGTTTTTTTTTTTAGTCTTGACCATAATAAAGAAAATCTATGTGGAACCACTGTATCCTGTCTTGAAAAAAGTCTGTATTGTCTTTGCATTGCCTGGATGGTACAGACATGCTCATGTTCCCATTCTGCAGGACTGTTCCTCTACACCACGGGTGTCAAACTGGCGGCCCGCCAACTGTTGCCAAACTACAAGTCCCATGAGGCTTTGCAAGATTGACAGTTACAAGCATGACTCCCAAAGGCAGAGGCATGATGGGACTTGTAGTTTCGCAACAGCTGGAGGGCCGCCAGTTTGATACCCATGTTCTACACCTATCTGATGTGGTTTTATTCTGCAGACCTCCGTACCAATGGGAGAAATTTAGATTGCTGCAACTGATCAACAAATACTAAACCTTTCTGCATTTTCATAGCACCCAAAGATGTGTTACATTTCCAACAAATAAGTAATATATGTGGCTATGTTGGACTTGGTGGAACTTTATTGGGATTGAGCTACTAAATCTAGTGCAGCTGTGCATGGTAGCCAATCAGCTTCCAGGTTTTATCATCAAAGCTTAATTGAATAAGCTGACATTAGAAGCTGATTGGCTCCCATGCACAGCTGCACCAGATTTTGCACTCTCCAGTTTTAGTAAATCAATCGATATGTGAGATGGAAAAGGGACAGGAATGGTTTAACAAATTCTTGCAGCGTGTTATTACAGTGTTGTGTTTGTCTTGCAGGCCACTGTCCGCCTACAACAGCCTCACAGACAAACACCTAACGGGCTACTTCAACAACACCCGGATCAGGCGACAACTTCAGAGAGCCGGTCTGGTAGGATATCCTCACCATTTTATCCAGTTATTCTCAACAATCAGAAGTTTTGTCTTTCTACTGTACATTCCTCTTGCTTTCTGCTTTTCTGGAAAGAGATGCATTTTGGGGGAGGGTTCACTTTTTCCAGGGTGTTATTGACTCACTTATTAATTTTTATCAAAATGATTATTAGATCAAGAGATATGGGTACCAGAAGCTACAAGGAAATCTTGACTTTTCCTGTAAAAAGTCAAAGTTGGCCATGCTCTTAACTTCCAAAGCATTTCTATTGGTCATTAAGGCCATGGATCACATTATATGGCCAAGAGGAAGGCAATGTGAGGCAAAAATGGTGGGAGCCAACTTAGTTTGGCAAATTTCAACTTCTCCTGTAAAAGCTGAGTTTGTTCCTCTCTCAGTTTCAACCTTTCTTTGGTCAATGAGGTGCTATCTTCAGATGTTTTCTAGCTTGCCCCATGAGCGTACGATCCTAGATGCAGATGCTCTGTGCCTGGGATTGTATGATCATGCTCATGCTCATGCTTGAGGTTATGTAAGTGCCAGAATAAACCCTCTTATAACAGCATAGAGCCATTCATTGCAATGGGAAGATGTACACTCAATATGGAAAATATATGCGAGCGCACACACAAAGAGAGTATAGCAGCTGTACACCAGGTAACCATAAAAACCTCTAAAAAACAATGTAAATCAAAAGTGCAGCGCTAGAAAAAAACACACTATGAATATAAATCATTAAGTGAACAGTTCATATGGTGACTTGAAGTGACTTCAGGTGCTTTCATGTAACTGTATCCTCCTAGTGGTAAGGTGCTGTGAGATAAAGTGCGGAAAGAATGCACACTCACCAGAACGCACAATTTAATGAACGTTTATATATATATTTCTCCTGATGTCATCTGCCGGTCTGGGTGGTGTCTGGAATCCTGTATATTCCCTTCAATGGTCCTGGATGCTATTAATAGGACATCAGGGTGGTCCAGAGTTCCCCTCAGGTGATAGCCTAGGGACTGCTCTATAGAGGTTGTGAAGGCAACCTCTCCAGTGGTCAAGTGGATGGCTGTGGATTAATACTCCCCAAGGGAGTCAAAGCAGAGACATCTCCATAGTGTAGTAGGTATAAACTTTATTGTGGTAAACGAAGATTCTTAAACGATAAATAAACAAGCGGCAGCATGGACTAACTGTCCAGTGTTAAAGATGGCCGCTGGAGCTCCACAATGCTCCGGCGGCGTGACGTCACGGCTTTGCTGGCTCCTCCTACGCGTTTCGTGCGCATGCACGTCGTCTGGGGGGACTTGCCAATCTGCCAAGATGTACACTGCTCCTGTGGCTAACTCACATCACCTATTTACACTCCATGCTTGCTGTACGCTCTCTTGCTGCCAAGTGCATGAAGCTTTAAAGTCAATGGGGCTTTTCTGACTTGTGTGCATTTCAAATACATGTCATACTTAGGTAAACAGCACCCATCGATGAGCCCTGAATGTGTTAGCTGGAGTTGGGCATTTGAATCCACTTGCCCATATAAGATTGCCCTAACCCTCATGTACACGGCCGCAAAAAGGGTGTACAGCGTGTGTGGAGTATAAAGGGCTTGGTTAGGTGGCATTGTATTGCCTCCTCTCCACCTGCTTTAACCCCTTGATCGCCACTCTGTTGTTGCATGTGGTTGCAGGTAGAGTGTATATCATCGTGGCTGCTCATGTGTACACTCCTGGCCACTGGCTCTGTGGCTAAAGGGGGTAGTAGTTTGTCGCGGCAACAGTGCAGTTTATACTTGGGATTCTACTACCCCCCTCAACCGCTAGTGTGAACAAGTCCAAATAGCGGCTTAAGGGAGCCACATGTGCAGTGCAAAACATCCCAGTGCGATTAAGGGCTGTATACTTACCTTTCATGCACTCCCTTCCACTGATTATACTTACTGTCCTCATACTCCTGTCCATCGCTTATACTTACAGTGCATCCAGAAAGTATTGACAGCGCTTAACTTTTGCCACATTTTGTTATGTTACAGCCTTATTCCAAAATGGATTAAATTCATTTTTTTCCCTCAAAATTCTACAAACAATACTCTATGATGACAACATGAAAGAAGTTCATTTTGAAATCTTTGCAATTTATAAAAAAAAAAATGAACAAAACCACATGTACGTAAATATTCACAGCCTTTGCTCGATACTTTGTTGAAGCCCCTTTAGCACCAATTACAGCCTCAAGTTATTTGGAGTATGATGCTACTAGCTTGGCACACCTGGTTTTGGGCAATTTCTCCCACTCTTCTTACAGTACCTCTCCATCAGGTTGGATGGGGAAGGTCGGTACACAGCCATTTTCAGATCTCTCCAGAGATGTTCAATTTAAGTCTGGGCTCTGGTTGGGCCACCCCAGGACATTCACAGAGTTGGCCCGTAGCCACTCATTTGTTATGTGGGCTGTGTGCTTAGGGTCGTTTTCCTGTTGAAAGATGAACTGTAGCCCCAGTCTAATGTCCAGAGCACTTTGGAACAGGTTTTCATCAAGGATGTCTCTGTACATTGCTGCATTCATGTTTCCTTCTATCCTGACTAGTCTCCCAGTTCCTGCTGCTGAAAAATATCCTCACAGCATATGCTGCCACCACCATGCTTCACTGTAGGGATGGTATTGGCCAGGTGGTGAGCGGTGCCTGGTTTCCTCCAGACATGATGCTTGGTATTTAGGCCAAAGAGTTCATTCTTTGTTTCATCAGACCAGAGAGTTTTGTTTCTCATGGTCTGAGAGTCCCTCAGGTGCCTTTTCACAAACTCCAGGCGGGCTGCCATTCGCCTTTTACTGAGGAGTGGCTTCCATCTGGCCACTGTACCATACAGGTCTGATTGATGAAGTGCTGCAGAGATGGTTGTTCTTCTGTAAGGTTCTCCTCTCTCCACATAATAATGCTGAAGCTCTTTCAAAGTGACCATCGGGTGCTTGGTTACCTCCCTGGCTAAGGCCCTTTTCCCTCAATCGCTCATTTTGGCCCGGCGGCCTGCTCTAGGAAGATTTCTGGTGGTTCCAAACTTCTTCCATTTATGGATGATGGATGACCACTGTGCTCATTGGGACCTTCAATGCTGCAGAAATGTTTCTGTACACATCCCCAGATCTATGCCTTGATACAATCCTGTCTCGGTGGTCTACAGACAATTCCTTGGACTCCATGGCTTGGTTTGCGCTCTGACATGCACTGTTAGCTATGAGACCTTATATAGACAGGTTTATGCTTTTCCTAATCCTGTCCAATCAACTAAATTTCCCACAGGTGAACTCCAATCAAATTGTGGAAACATCTCAGGATGATCAGTGGGAACAGGATGCACCAGAGCTTAATTTTGAGTGTCATGGCAAAGGCTGTAAATACTTATGTTTTTTTTTTTCGTTTTTTTAATAAATTGCAAAGATTTCAAAACAAACATCTTTCACATTGTCATTATGGGGTATTGTTTGTAGAATGTTGAGGAAAAAATGTATTTAATCCATTTTGGAATAAGGCTGTAACATAACAAAATGTTGCAAAAGTTAAGCGATGTGAATACTTTCTGGATGCACTGTATGAGGGTTTATGATGGTGCTTGCATAAACCCATGCATGCACATGGGTGCACAATTTAGGATGCAGACCATCTGCATCTAGGAGTGTATGCCCCTGCCCATGCTCAAGTTTATGCAAGAGCTGGCATAAATTCTTATGTAAACGCCTTCAGGTTCAGTTAGGGGAAGTTAGTTAGTTTTTTAGATAGAGACTTGTTAGGAGCCTGGGTGTGAGTCAGTCTGGTTATTTTAGGTCAGGGCTGAGGGCTCTGCAGGTCAGCTCTCTGATACCTCCCCCTGCTCTAGAAGCTGGAGAAGTTTCTAGAAGTCAGTGGGTTGGGGTGAGGAGGAGCTGGCCTGCATATTTAAGGGACCTTGGCCAATACCCAAGCAGTTTCTGGACCCCATTGCCAAGGGAATACCCTCTGGAGTCTGAGGCACACCAGAGAGCTGGAATGCTCTCAGAGGAGACTATTTTGTCCATCTCTGTACATAGTTGCTAAGGAATTTGTCCTCAAGTTTACAGTTCCCTTGGGCAACCTATACACCCCTCAACACTATTTAAGTGATCAACCCCTTAGAAAAACACAAAACAAAGCTCAGGGACTATTTTCTGGCTCTAAATGCAATGTGTGGAAGAAAAAGTGTATTGCCTGGCTATGCAGAGCTACAGGGGGACCCAAAACTCAGCGACCCCTAAGGGGGGTAATACTACACTCATATAGCAGCATACAGCCATTCAGTGCAATAGGAGGCTGTATGCTGCACCTGTGGATGTCAAACACAGGCAAACAACACCCATCAATGAGCCCTAAAACTGTTAGCTGGAGTATGGCTTTTAAGTCCATTTAAAACTACATGTCCATCCAAAAGTACCCTAAGACTTTTGGGATTCAGTGGGTGTAAAGAATACATGGAACGTAAATAGCCAATGTAAAGGAGCCACATGCGAAACATACAGCCTCCCATTGCAGTGAATGGCTGAACGCTGTTATATGAGGGTTTATGCTTACTTTTGCTCAAACTCATGCAAGCACATGGGTACACAGCCCAGGATGCAGACCATCTACATTTAGGATTGTACGCCCATGTGCATGCAATAGAGAATATAGCACTCTTAATAGGCGCTATTTAAGGAACTAAACCACTCTGCTGTTAGAAACTATATAAAGTTTCTGTTTAGACTGGAGGGCTATAATAATCTCATTGGGTTTATATTTCAGATCACAAGAAGTGGTAGGATCCTGACTGAAAAAGAATACAGAATAAATGCCATGAGACGGGACCATCAGAAGTACATCCGGGAATGTCTGGCCCAGGCCATATTTCAGAAAGTCCTCGACATGGAGGTAAGCGAGACACTGACACGCAAAATGGATGCAATGAGAATGCTCTTTACTTACCCTTTGTAGATACAGCACATTGTCACAGCTACTTCTACCTTCTATCCCACAATCCCTTTCAAATGTGGAACTTGGCTGCACTTCCTTTTTGATTGCCCCTTTGGACAGAAGTACCTTTCCAGACTGGTAGGCAAGACTGTAAAAACTGATACAATTTCTGCTTATATATGGACATATAAAGAAAGAGGTGAATTGTAAGACCCATGTCACACTAGGGATGCAGTCATTGGTGGCAACACGCATGCACCCGCTTCTGTGGCAACATCATTCCCTTGTTGGCCAAATAAGATTAGGTGCCTCTCTAATACTGTCCATCACTGGCCAAATCAATAAAGTATCACTCTATCACCTTGTACCTTGCTGGCCTGATGCCGTTGATTCTGTAAACATTTGGCCAGAGAGGGAATGACGTTTGAACAGCAGGTGAGGCTTCTCTTTTGTGACCCAGTTGCTGGGGGCTGCCCATTCCATGCTCCTTTGATGGCCAGATTAGCAAGGTGTCACTTTGTCATTCTACCCTCACTGGTCAAATGAATAAAGTGTTACTCCGCCATCACTACCTTGCTGGTCAGTGGATTCTTTAAAATTTCAGCCACAGAGGAATTGAAGTTGAAGGAGCTGTTGAGGCCTCTCTTTGGCAATCCTGTTGCTGGGAGTTTTCCAGTCTATGCTCCCTTGGTGGCCAAATTAGTAAGATGTCACTTCTTCACTTCTCTGCCTTGTGAATTTGCAAGGTTTTGCTTTGTCACGGCTCCCTTGTAGGCCAAATTAGCAAGGTGTCGGACCTTCACTGCCAAAATTAATTAGTTGTTGCTTTGTCACTGTTATCTCAAAGGCCAAATTAGCAAAGTGTAGCTCTGCTACTGCTCCCTTGATGGTCAAATTGACAAGGTGTCACTCCATCATTGTCCAAATTAGTGTTGTGCCTCTTTTCTCCCCCAATGTACAAATTAGTGGGAGGTCCCTCGCTTGTTTTCTCTTCCTCCGTGGCCAAATTAACGATGTTTTGTACATCATTGTTCCCTTGCTGGCCAAATTAGTAGGGTATCACTCTCTTACTATTCCCTTGCTGGCTGAATTAACAAGGTGTCACTCCTCTGCAGGCACGCTAGCTGCAGTTCTCTGTTTTTTCCAGCTCCCAGCAACTTGCAAGCTTGGAGTGTCAATTGAGGGGAGAGAAAACCATGGAGGAGCTCCTCCTCATATCTGAAACGTTAAAACAATGTTCTGAACTTGATGCAGATAAAAATGAATGCAGCTTTGTATTCATTATGACAAAGGACACCCCTGCTCCTGTCTCCTCCTCCCACCTTCATTCTCCAAGCTAACAGATTGGCTCCAGACGACACTGTCCACTTTTAACTCTTGCTTGTGTAGGCCAGAAGTTTGGGGAAGCAGCACTGAGAGAGTAGGAGGCAGCAGCATTGAATGTTGTAAACAGCAAGTACTGGGGTAAGAATTTTACCAAATAGTTTACTGAGGAATACTTATTTTATTTTGCTCAATATATTAAGCTAAAAAAACAATGAGGGTTTATTACTACTTTAACTTAGTGAATGTGTTTAAATTCACATTGTATAGAATACCCAATCACATGCAAGGAACAAAAAAAACAGTAAAAAAAAAAACAGTATTTTTGCTTGCACATGATTGTAGGATAGAAGTCAGCAGAGCTTCACCTCATTCACTATGGTAAGTGAAACTTCCCTTGCAAAGTGAAGAGCCTGTTTGCCTTTACTGAATTAACTCCACTGAGTTGGTAAAACATGAAAGCAGATAGGGATGCCTGACATTTCTTCAGCTTTCCTGACCAGCACACTTGCACTGAATAGATAGAACTGAAACCATTGGCTAGGCAGAACATCAAGGCAGCTTGCATTTCACGATTTCAGCAATGTCAGCCATGAACTTCTCTAATGACAGGTCCAATTTATTGGATACAAGAGTCTAGTACACGGTTGCCTTCTCTGAAGTTTTCCAGTGACAGGTCCACTTTACTGGATACAGAAGAGTCTAGTACACAGTTGGTTTCTCTGTTTTTCTCTAATGACAGGTCCACTTTATTGGATACAGAAGAGTCTAGAACATGTTTCCTTTTTCTGTATTTCTCCAATGACAGGGCCACTTTATTGGATACATAAAAGTTTAATGCACAATTGCTTTCTCTGAATTTCTCCATTGAGAGGTCCTCTTTGTTGGATACAGAAGTGTACAGTACATAGTTGCTTTCTTTGTATTTCTCCAATGACAGATCCTATTTATTGGCTACATCTAGTACACAGTTGCTTTATAGAAGAGCCTAGTACACAGTTGCTTTCCTTGTATTTATCCAATGACATGTCCTTTTATTGTATACATTAAAGTCTAGTACACAGTTGCTTTATATATATTTTTCCAATGACAGATCCTCTTTATTGGATATAGAAGAGCTTAGTACATGGTTGCTTTCTCTGTATTTCTTCAATGACAGGTCCATTTTACTGGATACATAAAATTGTAGTGCACAATTGCTTTCCCTGTTTTTTCTAATCACAGGTCCAATGTTTTTTAATTATTTTTATACAGGTCCATTTTTATTGGTTACAAGAGTCTATTACATGTTTGCTTTCTCTGTATTTTCCCAATGACAGGTCCATTTTACTGGATACATAAAAGTGTAGTGCACAATTGCTTTCTCTGAATTTCTCCATTGAGGGGTCTTCTTTATTGGATACATAAAAGTCTAGAAGACAGTTGCTTTTCTTGTATTTCTCCAATGACAGGTCCCCTTTATTGGATACATTAAAATCTAGTACACAGTTGCTTTCTATATATTTTTCCAATGACAGGTCCTCTTTTTTTGGATACAGAAGAGTCTAGTACACAGTTGCTTTCCCTGTTTTTTTTTTTAATCACAGGTCCACTTTTTTTTATTATTTTTATACAGGTCCACTTTATTGGATACAAGAATCTGTCACATGGTTGCTTTCTCTGTAGTTCTCCAATGACAAGCACACTTTATTAGATACAGATGAGCCTAGTGCACAGTTGCTTTCTGTTTTTTTTCAATGAGAGGTCCACTTTATTGGCTACAAGAGTCTAGTACACAATTGCTTTCCTTGTATTTCACCAATGACAGGTCCTCTTTATTGGATACAAGAGTCAAGTACACAGTTGCTTTCCTTGTATTTCACCAATGACTGGTCCTCTTTATTCGATACAGAAGAGCCTAGTACATAATTGCTTTCCTTGTATTTCTCCAATGACAGGTCCTCTTTATTGGATACATTTAAATCTAGTACACAGTTGCTTTCTATATATTTTTCCAATGACAGGCCCTCTTTTTTTGGTTACAGAAGAGTCTAGTACACAATTGCTTCCCCTGCTTTTTTTTCTAATCACAGATCTGCTTTTTTTTTTTTTTTAATTATTTTTATACAGGTCCACTTTATTGGATACAAGAATCTGTCACATGGTTGCTTTCTCTGTATTTCTCCATGGACAAGCACATTTTATTAGATACAGATGAGCCTAGTGCACAGTTGCTTTCTGTTTTTCTTCAATGAGAGGTTCACTTTATTGGATACAAGAGTCCAGCACACAATTGCTTTCCTTGTATTTCACCAATGACAGGTCCTCTTTATTGGATACAGAAGAGTCTAGTACACGATTGCTTTCCTTGTATTTCTCCAACGACAGGTCCTCCTTATTTGATATAGAAGAGCCTTGTACACATTTGCTTTCCTTGTATTTCTCCAATGACAGGTCCTCTTTATTGGATACAAGAGTGTAGTACATGATTGCTTTTCTTGTATTTCTCTAATGACAGGTCCTCTTTATTGGATACAGATACGTATAGTATACAGTTGCCTGCTTATTAGATAGGTGTCCCCCCCCCCCCCCCGGGGATATTGTATTTTAAGAGTCGGGTTCTCTGGAGACACGGCCTGATCACCTTCTGAATTCCCCCAGTGACACCTTAGAGAAGACGCAGTGTGATCCGTAGCATGGAACGTGGCGGTTCTCAGGTTGGCAGGTTGTGATATGGGACGGGACGGCCCTTGTAACATTATTCCCGTGTCGGTGGCAGCACTGAATCAGCGGACAGGAGCCCGGCCTGCCATTGTCCTCTTCTTCTTTCTTCTCACGGGTCCCCATTGTCCCGGCAGCCATGCCTTGTTGGGAAATGAATAATATATCAGCACAAGGCGGCGTACTGCTTGTCCTGCGTCCTGCCGCATTGTCTCATCCAGTTTAAAGGGGGATTCTAAGTTCTAATTCACTTTTAGTTTTTTCCGATCTACAGATCCCATTGCTGCAGGATTGACGTTTTCAAGCTACCCGTCACTCTGGTATACGTAAAGTCACAATCAGGGGCAGACTGACAACTCATGGGGCCACCGGGCAATAGGGGATCATGGGGCCCCTGTGTCCTTGCCCAAACTCAAAAAAGCCTATGAAAAGGGTACCAGGGGCATCTCATGGGGCCCCCTACTGAACCCGGGCCCTCGGGCAGTGCCCGAGCTTCCAAATGGTCAGTCTGCCCCTGTACCAGAGGTTTTTATGTGGTTACCTGAGTGTATCAGCTGCTATCAGGGGCGGTCTGACAACTCATGGTGTTCCCGGGCAATAGGGGATCATGGGGCCCCTGTGTCCTTGCCCAAACTCAAAAAAGCCTATGAAAAAGGTACCAGGGGCTCCTCATAAGGCCCCCTACTGACCCCGGGCCCTCGGGCAGTGCCCGAGTTTCCAAATGGTCAGTCCGCCCCGGCTGCTATTATGGAGAACGCTCACTATTATTATTGCTGATTTTATCCATCACTCTGAATGAGCCCCCCCATGGGTCATTCTACCTGCTTACAGGCCAGCAGCTCAAATTATGGCCGATCCCAGGAAGAATTACCGAAAAGATGCTACATAACAGAGAGAGCAAATGCAAAAATGTCTGCGCTCACCCTAAACCCCCCCAACCCAAGATCTGAGTGATATGAAATACACTTTCTGTGCAACACAGTGCTAATATGTGCTATTAATGCAGTAATTTACATATATTGATATTAGAGATAGATACTAATGCTTGGAATAACTCAGAGAACAGGAATCGATCAATATTCTGACCAGGAGTGGGCTTGTGGCTGTAACGCCAAAAATAATTAGTCCATTTAACCACTTCCAGTCCAGACACTTTCACCCCCTTCAAGTCCGGACACTTTCACCCCCTTCCTGTCCAGGCCAATTTTCAGCTTTCAGCGCTATCACACTTTGAATGACAATTGCGCGGTCATGCAACACTGTACCCATATGAATTTTTTAGCATTTTTTTGAGAGATAAAACTTTATTTTGGTGGTATTTATTTGCCACTGGGATTTTTATTTTTTTGCTATATAAATTAAAAAGGCCAAACATTTTGAAAAAAAAAGTGCTTTTCTTATATAATTTTGCAAATAAATAATCTTTCTTCATAAATCTTGGCCAAAATGTATTCAGCTATCTTTTTAGTAAAAAAAAAAATTAACCCAAATTAGTTTATAACCAAAAATTATAATTAAAAAAAAAATTTATTTACATTTTTATTTTTTTTATATTATTTATGTTTTTTTTTATTTTTTTACATACTGTCACCCTAGCAGTTCAGTGTCACCATGGTGACACTGTACTACTTGTGGGGGGTGATGGAGATTTTTTTTTTTACACTGATTGCTGTTACACCCATAAAGGCTGTAAAAGCAATAATTTCTCCTTCTCTCTGGCTGCATTCTTGCAGCCATTGAGAAATACTGTGAGTGCTGTGATTGGTCACAGCTTCTCACATGGTACAAAGCTATTGTGAATAGCCTTGTACCATGTGACCTCTGTGATCATTCACAGATTTTACTAGTAGTAAGCAATGATGTCAGAAGTGACATCTTGTTTCCTACTATTTATGTGATCTCTGATTGGCCAATCAGTGATCACATGATCGGGACCTCACACAGAGATCCTGTACAGCGATCCGGAGGACCCAGCAGGCACTGGATCGCGGTGCCACACGCTCCAAGGAACGCGCACAGGCAGGGAAGCTGGAGGACATTTATAAACAGCCACCCGCCCCTGCACTGCTCCCGTCTGGCCGTTTATGTACATGGGCCGGACAGGAAGGGGTTAAAAATAACAAAACTATCTACTGCCACAATATTCACCTTCAATCCAGAGATTTCCTCTGCAGTAGCTTTTTCTGCTTTTAGATGTCCTCAGTTTGATGGCAAACATCAATCAATCCACTTCCTCTGAGCCCAGGTCATCCTGGTCCCAATGCAGTCTGTCACTGGACAGTGAAAGGAGAAGCAGCACAGTGATGAGCTCATCTCTGCGATCTCTCCTCCTATCAGCATGCTCCATGTCAGCACATGAACTGATTGGCTTCTTGTGCTGCTTATTCCTCTCTCACTCCAGCCCTGCTGTACAGGGACTGCTAGAGGCTGATACCAGGTCAAATCCTGATACTTATGCTGCTTGCATTGAAAAATACATTTAATGATGTATTAAGGATTCCAAAGCTGCAATAATTTGACTCTTTAATATCTGCCTGGAATTCAGGTTTGAAGCCTTTTACGAGGTGGTATCAAAAAGTTTTGAGACTACTTTTGTAACACACCAACAGATGGCACTACAGGGCTGCACGTACAGTCACATGGAGCACTGACTTTCATACGTCAGTGTGCCAAAATACATCGTCCTGTGTATATCGTGACTTGTGCAACTGGTGCTATTCTGATCACGTGCATTACCACATCTGTTATTTCTTCATCGACAGCAAGTTAAAACAAGGAGCAAATGTGAAATTCCGTGTGAAACCCGTACACCCCAGTTTCCTCACTGGTAATGATCCTCGACATGAAGTACGAGCCATCCACGTCACGCTGATGGAGTTCTTGGCAGACTTTGACGCAGTGTTCCTTCTGCTCCTGGGTCAGCAGCCTGAGGACCAACTTGGCAGGATTGCCTGGACTGTTCCGTATGACACACTATCAATGGCAGCAATGTTGTGGATTGTTCTCCAACGATCCTCATGCACAAGTTGCCGAATGGTTTCGACATTTTCAGGGGTTGAGCTCGTTGAAGGTCTTCCTGATCTCTCATCATCTTCCAGTGATGTTCTTCTGCTCTTGAAACAGAAAACAGCTCAAACGACTCATTGCAGCATCACTGTAAACTTGCCGAATTATATCAAATGTCTCTGTGGCAGATTTGTCCAGTTTCATGCAGAATTTCATACTTGCTCCTTGTTCTAACTTGCTGTCCATGATGAAATAGCAGACATGTAACGCACGTAGTCAGAATAGCACCAGTTATACACCTCCCGATGTACACAGGATGATGTCTTTTGGCACACAAACTTATAAGGGTCGGTGCACCCCGTGACTGTGAGTGCAGCCTTCTGCTGCCATCTCTTGGTGTGTTACAAAACTTTGATACCACCTCGTAATACTGCCAAACTTGTGGGGAGGAGCACACCAGGTGAGGTCAAAGACTGCCTTTTTTTTCTGGGTGTTCACATATGTAGGCCAAGTCACTCCATGCCAAATACTCTAATCCTTCACTGAGCACCCACAGAGAGGTATGACCACACACGCTTTCACATTCCAGTGTTCACATATTTAGGCCAGGGGTCTCCAAACATTTAGCCAGTTTACTGTCCTTCAGACTTTAGGGGGGAGGGTTGGACTGTGGGGAATAAAAAAAAAAATGACATGGTGTCTGTGTTCAGTAGGAGGAGGATTTGTGCACAATATTGGGTATTAGTGATAGGAACAATGTCCTATAGTTGGTGGCAGTGGGAGAAATATTGCCCCATAATTGATGAATGTTGGAGGAATAGTGACTCATTGTTGATGTCAGTAAAAGGAATAGTGCCTCATCATTGGTGTCAGTGGGAAGAATAGTAATAGTACCCCATTATTGGTGTAAGTAAAAGGAATAGTGCCCCATTATTTGTGTCAGTAGAAGGAATAGTGCCCCATTATTGGTGTCAGTAGAAGGAATAGTACCCCATTATAGGTGTCAGTTGAAGGAATAGTGCCCCATCACTGGTATGACTGTAAGGAATAGAGCCCAACTGTTGATGTCAGTGAAAGGAATATTGCCCCATCATTAGTGTCAGTGGAAGAAAAAATGCCCCATCACTGGAGTCAGTGGAAGGAATAGTGCTCCATCTTTGTTCCTCGGTGGGAGGAATATAGCCCCTTGGTGTCAGTAGGAGGAGTAGTGCCCCATCATTGGTATCAATGGAAGGAATAGTGCCCCATCATTGGTATCAATGGAAGGAATAGTGCCCCATCATTGGTATCAATGGAAGGAATAGTGCCCCATTATTGGTATCAATGGAAGGAATAGTGCCCCATCATTGGTATCAATGGAAGGAATAGTGCCCCATCATTGGTATCAATGGAAGGAATAGTGCCCCATCATTGGTATCAATGGAAGGAATAGTGCCCCATCATTGGTATCAATGGAAGGAATAGTGCCCCATCATTGGTATCAATGGAAGGAATAGTGCCCTATTATTGATATCAGTGGAAGGAATAGTGCCCCATCAGTGGTATCAATGGAAGGAATAGTCCCCCATCATCAGTATCAATGGAAGGAATAGTGCCCCATCATTGGTATCAATGGAAGGAAAAGTGCCCTATCATTGGTATCAATGGAAGGAATAGTGCCCTATTATTGGTATCAATGGAAGGAATAGTGCCCTATTATTGATATCAGTGGAAGAAATAGTGCCCCATCAGTGGTATCAATGGAAGGAATAGTCCCCCATCATCAGTATCAATGGAAGGAATAGTGCCCCATCATTGGTATCAATGGAAGGAATAGTGTCCCATCATTGGTATCAATGGAAGGAATAGTGCCCCATCATCAGTATCAATGGAAGGAATAGTGCCCCATCATTGGTATCAATGGAAGGAATAGTGCCCCATCATTGGTATCAATGGAAGGAATAGTGCCCCATCATTGGTATCAATGGAAGGAATAGTGCCCATCATTGGTATCAATGGAAGGAATAGTGCCCTATCATTGGTATCAATGGAAGGAATAGTGCCCTATTATTGGTATCAATGGAAGGAATAGTGCCCCATCATCAGTATCAATGGAAGGAATAGTGCCCCATCATTGGTATCAGTGGGAGGAATAGTGCCCCATTATTGGTATCAATGGAAGGAATAGTGCCCCATCATTGGTATCAGTGGGAGGAATAGTGCCCTATCATTGGTATCAATGGAAGGAATAGTGCCCTATTATTGGTATCAATGGAAGGAAAAGTGCCCTATTATTGATATCAATGGAAGGAATAGTGCCCCATCATTGGTATCAATGGAAGGAATAGTGCCCCGTCATTGGTATCAATGGAAGGAATAGTGCCCCATAGAAATTGCCAGTGAAAGAGATAATATTTCGTACGTACCCGACTCATAGGCTGCAGTTTGGAGATCACTGATGTAAGCCACATCACTCTTTGCCCCATAGTTCCGACCTTCACTGAACATTCACAGACAGGTATGGCCACCTACACACTCCAGTGTTCTCATATGTAAGCCACACAACTCCATGCCAAATACCTACCCAGCTTGACTGTCTCTGGCCACGGTATCCCCCAGAAGATCAGTATTTAACAAATTCAGTTTACTCCAGGAAAATAATATTTATTTTTTTCCTTTGCCAGAGACGCCACCAAATCGACATCAAGAGAAAGCTGGAAACATTTGCAAGAAGGGAGCGGGTGCAAAGAATTAAGGTAAACCTCCAGCCGAAGTTTGGTAATTTTCGGCTTTGCAGTTTAGCATTTTGGGGCTGACTAGCTAGTTAGGTGTGCCAGTGGACATATAATAAAAACAAGTCACCTCCTGTGATCAGGCAGTTTTTGACAGACCTTCCTTGGCAAACTAAATCCACCAAATATGAGCGATGCTGTGCAGCCCTTCTGGAAGGCTGGGGAAGCCTAGCGCAATGCTGAACAATAAGAACAAAAGAAGGCGCACCAGCCTTGAGCATTACCTCAGGGACAACATGTTTATTGAAGGATAAAACAGATGTACAGTGGATATAAAAAGTCTACACACCCCTGTTTAAATGTCAGGTTTGTGTGATGTAAAAAAATGAGACAAAGATAAATCATTTCGGAACTTTTTCCACCTTTAATGTGACCTATAAACTGTACAACTCAGTTGAACGACAAACTGAAATCTTTTAGGTGAAGGGAAGTAAAACTAAAAAACTAAAATAAACTGGTTGCATAAGTGTGCACACCCTTAAACTAATCCTTTGTTGAAGCCCCTTTTGATGTGATTCCAGCACTCAGTCTTTTTGGGTATGAGTCTATCAGCATGGCACATCTTGACTTGGCAGTACAGTATTCTTCCTTGCAAAAACACTCCAAATCTGTCAGATTGTGAGGGCATGTCCTGTGCACAGCCCTCTTCAGATCAGCCCACAGATTTTCCATCGGATTCAGGTCTGGGCTCTGGCTGGGCCATTCCAAAACTTTCATCTTCTTCTGGTGAAGCCATTCCTTTGTTGATTTGAATGTATGCTTTGGGTCGTTGGCATGTTGAAAGATGAAGTTCCTCTTCATGTTCAGCTTTCTAGCAGAAGCCTGAAGGTTTTGTGCCAATATTGACTGGTATTTGGAACTGTTCATAATTCCCTCTACCTTGACTAAGGCCCCAGTTCCAGCTGAAAAAAAAACAGCCCCAAAGCATGATGCTGCCACCACCATGCTTCACAGTGGGTATGGTGTTCTGTTGGAGATGTGCAGTGTTGTTTTTGAGCCAAACATATCTTATGGAATTATCGCCAAAAAGTTCAACCTTGGTTCCATCAGACCATAACAAATTTTCCAACATGCTTTTGGGAAACTTCAGATGTGTTTTTGCAAAATTTAGCCGGGCTTGGATGTTTTTCTTTGTAAGCAAAGGCTTCCATCTTGCCACTCTACCCCATAGCCCAGACATATGAAGAATACTGGAGATTGTTGTCACATGGACCACACAGCCAGTACTTTCCAGATATTCCTGCAGCTCCTTGAATGTTGCTGTAGGCCTCTTGGCAGGCTCCCAGACCAGCTTTTCTTCTTGTCGTTTCATCAATTTTAGAGGGACATCCAGTTCTTGGTAATGTCACTGTTGCGCCATATTTTCTCCACTTGATGATGACTGTCTTCACTGTGTTCCATGGTATATCTAATGCCTTGGAAATTCTTTTGTACCCTTCTCCTGACTGATAACTTTTAATTATGAAATCCCTCTGATGCTTTGGAAGCTCTCTGCGGACCATGGCTTTTGCTGTAGGATGTGACTAAGAAAATGTCAGGAAAGACCTACTAGAACAGCTGAATTTTATTTAGGGTTAATCAGAGGCAGCTTAAATGATGGCAGGTGTGTACTGACTCTTATTTAACATAATTTTGAATGTGATTGCTTAATTCTGAACACAGCTACATCCCCAGTTATAAGAGGGTGTGCACATTTATGCAACCATATTATTTTAGTTTTTTATGTTTACTTCCCCCCCTAAAAGATTTCAGTTTGTTTTTCAACTGACTTGTACAGGTCACATTAAAGGTGAAAAAAGTTCTGAAATGATTTATCGTTGTCTCATTTTTTTTACATCACAGAAACTTGACATTTTAACAGGGGTGTGTAGACATTTTATATCCACTGTATACTCACAAACGCCAAAATTTCACATGCATATAGTATCCAATATAGACCAACAGGACCAGAGTCCTGTGCGAGTCCCAGATGGAGGAAGACCCTAAAAGAATTTCTGACATGTTTCGAAGGGAGATCCCTTCTTCCTCAGAACCCTGAGGAAGAAGAGATCTCCCTTCGAAATGCGTCAGCCATTTTTTTAGGGTCTTCTTCCATTTGGGACTCGCACAGGGTCCTGTTGGCCAATATTGGATATTATATGCTTGTTAAATGTTGGCGTTTGTGAGTATACAAAGTAAAAAGAAAAAGCGCCACACTCTTTTTAAAATAATAAACTACGTGTCAGCAGCAACACCCACCAAAAAAATATATACACAAACAATTAATTTGGCAAAGTGAACAAAATCTCATAAGGGTATGCGCTAAATAAATATATATATATATCACCATATATTAAGTGTCCAAAAACAAACTCAAAATATTCTCTGTGACTTCATAACACTGTGAATAATCCACCACCAAATGAATTAAATAAACTCACCAGAGCTATATGCTGATGAAATTATAAACCAGCAATAACGCTTGTGCTCTGGGAGCGATGAATAAACGATGTCCAGATATTAGATGTGGTAATTCTTAATCACGTCCAGGTAATCAATAATGGTGAATCAGTATGAGGGATAATGTATCACTACCAAGAGCAATACTCTGCAGCCAAGGATTTCATGATGAATCTCTCCATTTAATTCCATACCTCCATATATGTATGAATCACACTCAGGGACAAAGAAAAAAAACATGATGGTGCAGTACGTTTAAAACATACGAAAATTTAATAATAAAAGCTCAAGCAACTCACAAACAAGGTGTCCAGACAGACACCAGCTTAAACAGCAATACGCAGCAATGAGGTGATGAATGATCCCCGCTCTCTGCGGATCACCTCCGACAAACACTGGGAAAAGAAAGTTCTGACGTCAACATCGAGTAGGCCATGCCCAATGCGTTTCGTCACCACAACATCATCAAGGGTACCGCGTGGGCGTGGCCTACTTGATGTTGACTTCAGAATGTTCTTTTCCCAGTGTTTGTCTGAGGTGATCCGCGGTGAGCGGGATTGTTCATCACCTCATTGCTGTGCATTGCTGATGAAGCTGGTGTCTGTCTGGACACCTTGTTTGTGAGTTGCTTGAGCTTTTATTAAATTTTCGTATGTTTTAAACGTACTGCACCATCATGTTTTTTTCTTTGTCCCTGAGTGTGATTCATACATATATGGAGGTATGGAATTAAATGGAGAGATTCATCATGAAATCCTTGGCTGCAGAGTATTGCTCTTGGTAGTGATACATTATCCCTCATACTGATTCACCATTATTGATTACCTGGACGTGATTAAGAATTACCACATCTAATATCTGGACATCGTTTATTCATCGCTCCCAGAGCACAAGCGTTATTGCTGGTTTATAATTTCATCAGCATATAGCTCTGGTGAGTTTATTTAATTCATTTGGTGGTGGATTATTCACAGTGTTATGAAGTCACAGAGAATATTTTGAGTTTGTTTTTGGACACTTAATATATGGTGATATATATATATATTTATTTAGCGCATACCCTTATGAGATTTTGTTTGTGAGTATACATCTGTTTTATCCTTCAATAAACATGTTGTCGATGAGTTAATGCGGAAGGCTGGTGCACCTTCTTTTGTTCTTATTTTGCAGCAGTGGATATATAATATTGTAGTGCTCTATGAACTGCTCGGCACACGTGTACATAACGTATCCTACTAGGTGTACATTGATGAGCGGCTGCCATTTTTATTTGGCTTTAAGAAATGCATTATAACCCCATAGTGGAGTTTAAACCACCAACAACTTCATAACCCAGAAGCTATATTTATTACTATTATTCGTTTGGTTCTACTTTTGGCTCAGATCTCGTACTCAGAACTTCCAAGAAACATTTAGCAAATTCATAGGGCTAAAGAAGCTGAAAATCTAATATGGATCATTATGCTAGCCATACATTAGTCGAAAAATCGTTCAGATGGGTTTTTGAAAAACATGGTTGATGGTGCAAACGATATTGCCATCATGTAATGACCAAATTTCAAACAATAAATTGTTCAGTGGCCATAAATGAATCAGTTATTTGTCTGTTTTTTTGCTTCTGGGTCATGTATGCGCAGTACCAACAGTTCTATTTTTAACAGGCGAGAAACACATTTATCGTCCTTTCGGCAGAAGTTTCCCAAACGTTTTCTTTAATTTTTTTGGCCTAAAATGTGTCAATAACGATTTTTGATCTTGGCCCAGTAACTGGCCGAAAAATGAACAAACTGTCCAAATGAGAGATTTTCAAAGATTTTTGATCTATGTTATATCGCGCCTTGACTATTGCAACTCCCTCCTCATTGGCCGACTTCATCGCAGGCTATCCCCTCTTCAGTCTATCATGAATGCTGCCAGACTTATCCACCTTACTAACCGTTCTGTATCAGCCACCCCTCTCTGCCAATCCCTCCACTGGCATCCCATTGCCCAACGGATAAAATTCAAAACTTTAACAATAACGTATAAAGCCGTTTATAACTCTGCCCCAAATTACATCACCGATCTTGTCTCTAACTATCACCCAAACCGTACTCTCCGCTCCTCACAAGACCTCCTGCTCTCTAGCTCCTCCTCCCATGCTCGTCTCCAGGACTTTTCCAGAGCTTCCCCCATCCTCTGGAACTCTCTACCCCAATTTATCAGACTATCGCCTACTCTGCTTTAGGCAATCTCTGAAAACCTATCTCTTCAGGGAAGCCTATCCTGCCCTCAGCTAATACTGGAATCTTCTACTCTTCCAACCAGTCCATCCCCCACAGTTACTACCTTTTGTACCACTAGCCCCTCCCTCTTAGATTGTAAGCTCCAAGGAGCAGGGCCCTCCTATCCCTCTTGTATTGAACTGTATTGTTGCTGTATTGTCTCCCTTTATTTTGTAAAGCGCTGAGCAAACTGTTGGCGCTATATAAATCCTGTATAATAATAATAATAATAATAATAATCTATTGTATGGCCACCATTAGTCTCTGTGCTAACAAAAATCCAGATACAGTTGGGCATCTATTTTTTGGATAATTTACCGCAGCAATGTGTGCCTTACCTGGAATTTTTTACAGGTTTCTGGATGGTACATAAGCAGAAAATATCCAGTAGGGGGCAGCATTTACTCACATATATTATTCTCTACAAATTCTAGTCGCATTTCTTCCCATTTGCTGTAATTGTTGGATTACACTATTCTGATAAGCATCCACTTTATATTGTTACAAAGGAAAATTATTCCTTGTTTTTCTTGTGTATTGTCTTTGTTAGGTGGATCATTCCAGCAGAGGCAGAGAAGAAACATTTCCAGCTTTTTCTCCTCGCCCCCCTACGGGACCTAAAAGTGGGGCAAACCCGCGTCGGCGAAACTATGAACAGTCGGACTCATCTGAATCAGTGAGTAATTAAACAACGTGAATCAAAGTGTACATCAACCAATCAGATTTAGTGTTTCACTGATCTGACCCTAATATACCATCTACATCCCTGAAACCTGATTGGCTCTGTCCCACATAGCGTGCTCTATGCTGTATCATTAGAGGTATAAAAGCTATCACATGGCATCACCGTAAGCCCAGCACCCCAGCATTGGGCATATGGGTATGGTGCTAAATGCTTTGGATGGGTTTCATGTTTTTAGGCTTCTCTGTGGCCCCAATAGGACATTTTCCTCCCTTCCTGTCTGTGCAGTCCGTACAAAAATTGTGGGGACAGGGACAGGAAAGCTCAGACAACCGTAAGAACATTGTCACAAGTTCTGATCTTTGCCCACTTTATTTAAAATGGGTTTTTGTCTGTGTTTCTGATGGGGAGATTTCCTATTACTTCCAGTCCATAAAGAATGAGAATGAATCTCTCAGACAACAATAACATTGCTAAGAAATTGGATCAGAAGAAGAGCTGGAACTCTGAGGGCTCTTTATATGTCTATTTTATATTGTTGTTGTCATCCAATATTACTGATGCAGTGAGAACATAGAGAAACTCAGTATTGGGCTGGCAGGTTCAACTTACCGTAGGGCAGTGTTTCTCAACTCTAGTCCTCATGGACCCCCAACAGGTCATGTTTTCAGGATTTCCCTCAGATGAAACAGCTGTGGTAATTACTAAGGCAGTGAAACTGATCAAATCACCTGTGCAAAATAATGGAAATCCTGAAAACATGACCTGTTGGGGGTCCATGAGGACTGGAGTTGAAAAACACTGCCGTAGGGCTTCCGTGATCACCTTAGGTTTTGGTAGGGATGAGTCATTTACTCATTTTGCTAATTATTTATTAAATTATTTCAAGGCTGTACCTCCTCTCTCTTCATCAGGGCAAGTTTATTCCAAATATAAATAGATTTGAAAGCCAACCTGACTCAGGGCTGCACCTCCCCTCCCTTCATCAAGGCAAGTTTATTTCAATTAATAAATAGATTTGAAAACCAACGTGTTTCAGAGCTGTACTTCCTCTTCCTTCATCAGGGAAGGTTTATTCCAATTATAAATAGTTTACAAAGCCAACGTGTCTCAGGGCTCCACCTCCACTCCCTTCATCAGGGCAAGTTTATTCCAATTATAAATAGTTTACAAAGCCAACTAGTCTCAGGGCTGCACCTCCCCTCCCTTCATCAGGGCAAGTTTATTCCAATTATAAATAGTTTACAAAGCCAACGCGTCTTAGGGCTGCACCTCCCCTCCCTTCATCAGGGCAAGTTTATTTCAATTATAAATAGTTTACAAAGCCAACGCGTCTCAGGGCTGCACCTCCACTCCCTTCATCAGGGAGAGTTTATTCCAATTATAAATAGTTTACAAAGCCAACGTGTCTCAGGGCTGCACCTCCACTCCCTTCATCAGGGCAAGTTTATTCCAATTATAAATAGATTTTAAAATCAACATGTTTCAGGGCTGTACCTCCTATCCCTTCATCAGGGCAAGTTTATTCCAATTATAAATAGTTTACAGAGCCAATGTGTCTCAGGGATGTACCTCCTCTCCCTTCATCAGGGCTTGCAAAAAGTAAAACGTTGAAAGAATGTATGTGTACTCAATAATCACTCTATAGCTGGACTTTAATAAGATGAGTTTGCACAGCAATCCATCAGTAGCTGCTTGAACCAGCTGCTGATGTATTGTTGCGCAAACTCACCCTAATAACATCCAGCTATAGATTGATTATTGAGTACACATACCAAGTTGTATGGTTCCATTGCTGACAATAGGGTGCGACTTTTCATGTGATTTGGAACTGTCAAATCGCATGACAAGTTGCACCGGTGTGAACCAGGGCTTAAAGGCTATGACAGTCAAATGAGGATCAATAATACTCCCAAAATACCTTCAAACTTATATTTACAAAAAGATAGACAAGGTGCAAGCTGCATCCTGCCTACTTATCTTAAAGGCTAACCTCTTACTAAAGATAATAAAAGCACATATGTTTACAGAAAAAAGGGGTGGGGCAGTTTGGTGATGGGAGGTGTCCCATTTTTCCAATGCTAGCTATGGGTTTAACATGTAATACTGTGCAAAAGGTGACGTTAGCCTTTAAATCAAACCCTCTTCCAGCTGGTCCCATGGCATCCTGGGGTCTTCTTCCTCTTCTGCTCTGGTGTAGGCAGTGAGCAATTTTCAATACTCTGACTTGACAACATCACCCTTGCTCTTTGAAGTACGTATTGTGAGCCCAGGCTGACGTAATGACGCAACACCAGGGGTTGGGTCCAGGACAGCCTTGCCCCACAGGAAGTGGGCTAAATGCCTCTTGCTGTCAATCGACCCTGAAGAAGACCAGCAGCTGGCAGTGGAGCAGACTTCCTTAGGGGGACAGCGTGACTATTGCCGTGAAACTGCATTTTTAAAACTTTTGGCCAAGTTTATTATTTAAAATAATTTTTTACACAGAGTTCTAATTTAACCTCCTTGGCGGTATTCCCGAGTGTAGCTCGGGGTAACATTTCAGTACCAAGAGCGGTAACCCCGAGCTACACTCGGGCTTACCATGCGGCGTTGCTCAGGGAGTCCCTGCAGCGCTTACCTTGTCCTTCGCTCCCGCGATGTGTCCCCCTGCAGCGTCCCCGGCCATCTCCTCCTGCCGATGCCGGCATCCGGATTCCGTGTTCCGGTCCCTGTGATGTCAGGATGTACGGGCGCCAGAACCGGCGGGAAATTTGAAATTTTTAAAAAATTTCATTTTTTTAAAAATGATTATTATATAGTAAAACATTGCTGTTTCAATGCATTTCACATATATTTTGCCCCTACTGCTTTGTCCTGTGCCCTGCCTACATTTTGACTGTTCTTTCTTCCTGGAAACTTAGAAAAGTCCATGGCGTCCAAAAAGCGTCCCTTTAGGTCAAAATCAGTTTTAAACCGGCTAGAGAACAGCGATAGTAAATCAGAACCACTTGCAGAATTGAGTGATAATGATTTGTGGGGGAAATTCGTCATCAGACACTGAAAATGATTTTGCGACTTTGCTCAGTGATGTGCGAACTTGGCGCTCTATTTCAAATTTCAGTGTTTTTGGTTTGATTATATTATTGAATTAAATTTATTATTATTATATTATTATTTTTTATGAGTATTTATTAAGTAAGTAATTACTAAGAATTGCAGGCCTACAATACATAACACCAAATTTCCATGCAAAAAAATAGTACCGCTTTTGGTACAAAAATTCCTGACATAATCATACCGCCAGGGAGGTTAAGAGGAAAACTCCAATAATATAAAACCCTAAAGCCAACCCAGAAGGCATTTTTACACAAATAGTTTCTGAAGTCAGAATGAACCAGTTATTTTATTTGACAAATACCAAGGTCAGATTAACATTCCTACAAACAGGAAACAAAAAGTTTGTGTACCAAGTGACAACTCCTTGACAACATATCATGGATGTATTTTACTGGGCTCACTCCATACTTACCACACATACAATATCGCCTGAATAAATATTTAACCTTGATACACTCACAATGCATGGAACGTAATGCTTCAACAACCTCTAGGCTATCGGCAGGGAAATTGCCCGCACACCTGACTTCCTTGTCCATGTGCGGTGAACCACGCTTGATGCACGTCTAGTATATAACGTTTAATGAAAGGCTATTATGATAATTCTCTGGATGGCACACAATGGAGGATCTGTGCCATGAATGAATACAAGAAGGGTTTGGCAATGTACGTGTTGAGGTTCTTGGGATTAGTGCAGAATTGGTTATATAATATTGTGACGGCTTCAGCGAAGCCATTCTCCTAATTCTCGGACAAGCTGGATGACATTTTCTGTAATAAAAGTCTACCGGAGGCACTTTTGTAGTGAGTGGTTTCCTGTCACTGGCCGCGGATTCAGATGTGTCACCGAGGAAGTCAAGTGGCCATTGATAGAAGATGGTGACTGAAAGGTCAGACCAGAGCATTAAGTGATTTGGTGTTTGAAAGAAACCTTCTCATGAAGAGATGGATAAATGGGAATTTTTAAGGTGCCAATCACATAGAAAACCATGATATTTAAAATTAATTATTTTTTTGCATAAACACATACTGTATAAGGTGGTTGAAATTAATTTTGCATGACATTCAAATGAGGATCATTACTACTCCCATATTAAACCAGCCATTGCCTATTGCTCAGCTACATTAATATACTTTCAAACTTATATTTCCAAAAAAGAAAATGACAATTTAATTCACGGAATGGACTGTAAAAAAAAAATGTTTGCTTACCTGTACACTAGCAGATGTTGTCACCTTCAAAATAGTCCCCTTGTGAATCGATGCATTTTTCTAGATGACTGTGCCACTGACGGAAACATTCCTGGAACTTGTTTTCTGGAACACTGCGCAGTACCTTTGTTGCAGCGCGCCGGATGTCCAGAATGTCATCAAATCTGTATCCTTTGTAGGCAATTTTTTTAATTTTGTAAACAGCCAAAAGTTGCAGAGTGCTAAGTCATGGGTCAAGTTGAATGGATATCGGGGCCAGGAACTCGCACACACTTAACACATCATGTGCAGGAGAATCGTCGTGTTGTAGACTTTACTTGTCTGTTCCAGTCTTTTCCTCTGAACAAGTTCCTGTAACCTTTTCATTTTCCACATTTGCATCTGTCCTTTGCATTTTTGGCTGCCCACTTTTTCCAACATCGTGGACATCTTCCTGCCCCTCCTTAAACCACCTATGCCATTCAAAAACACATAGATTTCTTCATGGAATGTTCACCATAAGACTGCTGTAACAGAGCTAAAGTTTCAATCGCACGTTTGCCAATTTTGATGCCAAAATTTGATGTTAATCCACTGCTCTAGATTTCTGTCACTCATTTTCTGCCAGCAGTGCAATGCACACGTTATTTCTTCTACTACTCTGTAAAGTCAGAGTCAACTGGTCTTCAACCCAGGCAAGGGTCTGCAACCCAGGCATTTGCTTGAGTGCAGATGGATGTGTAACTCACCACCTTAGCGCTACACCGCGGGCAATCTGAGAAATATATCGTCACACCTTGTGCTATAACAGGTGATGCGAATCAACACTTTGATGCTGATTGATGCAGTAGGATGAGGATGACTCACTGCAGTTCGCAGATCAGAGGATTAGATCAGGAAATATAAGGAGGTGTATCTACAATATTAATATATAGAATTTATATCATATTGACAGTTTGAATAGCTTTTAACACAAAATAGGGGAAACAGAACATTATGTAAGAACATTTTCAAACGTGAATGCTCCCTTCAACCGGAAATTTGCTTACAAAAAGATTTGATAAGTAAGAACGAATCCAGAGAAGGGTAACAAAAATGGTGAAAGGTCTGAGGGATAAAACATATCAGAAGAGACCTCAGGAACCTAAAATGTCTAGTCTAGCGGAAAGAAGGGAAAGGGGGAACATGACTGAAACCTTGAAATACATCAAGGGGGTAAATATGGTTCAGGAAGGCGGTATTTTCAATATGAAACCAAAATCAAGAACACAGGGACATGACCTCCAACTAACAGGAGGAGGAAAGTTCAAAACTACACTTAGAAAGTATTATTTTACTGAAAGAGTAGTTGAATGTTTGGAATAGACTTCCAGCAGAGGTAGTGAATCAGTCAACGGTGAGTGGACTTGATGGACCACTTGGTCTTTTTTCTGCCATCACTTTTCTATGTTTCTATGAGTCCATGAGCAGATCCCCTGCTGAATTTGAGCTCAATGGGAAGGTTGTCCCTTTTTTGACATCTGAGCCAAGCCTCAGTTTCCCATCCACATTTTGACTGGAGACCTATGTTGGATCTATGGACTGTCAGATCTAAATGGACTTGTGTCCATTTACATTAGACAGTCTCTGGTCTGTCCCTCTTACGGACTGTAGTCCATTTCCATTTTTCTGGACCTGGATGGGCTTGGAGGTAGGTGGATGTAAACAGACACAAGTCTGTTCAGCTCCATATACATCCACCTTCCCATGCATGGAGTCTCCAATCAGGAAGCTGATTGTAAAAATTGTGTAGGGGGTACAGCATTGCATGGGCATGCAATTGTCATTCAAAGTGCGACAGCTCTGAAAGCTGAAAATTGGCTTGGGCAGGAAGAGGGTGAAAGTGCCTGTTAGGCAAGTGGTTAAAGTAATGCGGTGTGGGTGTACAGATGTACAGTAAGTCTCTAAACATGCATTCAGGACTTTTCATCTGTACGCCTATACCACTTTACACTTTACACAAGTATCAGCACACACCTGCGTACAGCCGCCCCCCCCAAACTTTTTAAGTGCAAGGATGACATTGTATATTTTACAAATACTCTGAGGTTGAAAAAAATGATTTTCATAAATGAATGACGCAAATTTAAAAAGTATAGCTCATAAGGATCAGCTCTACTGGAATTACAGCAATAGTTGTCTTCCAGGAGTACTATAAAGTTGTCAGATATAAATAATAGAGCTAAACCCAGGAGGTGTCATGCACCTCCCTGCACTTAACTCATAGTGTGCCTTCATTTTTTTACAAAGGAGCTGAATTCCTGGAATTCAGCTTTAAGGTATTCGTAAGTACCAGTAGGTATCACCAAGCAACCTTTAAGTCTCTACTAAGTCCATATTTACTAACAATCACACCCATGATGATTCTTGGATCAGATGGGTTTATAAGTCTTAACTGTGGCAGCCTCAGCATTACAGCCAAGCAACTGGAATTTTCAGGTAGGAGGTCAACATCGTAATTGGTGGAAGACTTTGATAGATATCCAAAAGAGAATGAAAAAACTGTCTACATTTCTACAGGATTAAGGTGACAGAGGGTGCTAAGCCTCTAGACCAGGGTTCCTCCAGAGGTTGCCAGGGGTTCCTTGTGTAATGAGCAATGTTTGCCTCTTAGATAAGTTCCCACTGACACCATTGGTCCTGGTTAGCTATGTGTTAGGGGTAATTCTTCCCAGTGACCACAAGTGTAAGGAGCATTCTCTGTGTTGAAAAGGTTGAGCAAGGCTACTCTAGGCTACTATGAGCACTTGTTTGTATGGTGTGTAACTGATACTATCAACACTTCTAGTGCCCAACCTGCAGCTAGAGGGCCGCATGTGGCCCATAGGTGCTTGTTGTATTGTCCTTGGACCCAGCAGTCAGTAGGGGCAGTGGGAGCCTCAGTTTTTAAAGGGACTGTTAAAGCAGTAATCTCTAGCAGTCTTTTTTTTTATATGTTTCTAGTCATTCTGCAGTATGTATCAACTCTTCAACCACACCTATAGCATGTCCACAGTCTCTGACCATCTTCTGTAGTATCTGTTATACTGAATGTTATGTGTGGTCCCCTTGGTGATGTCAGGGGTTGCAGCTGAGGCCCCTTATACCTCAGAAGTTGACTGCCATTAATTTACATCTTCAAAAATGTTTTATACAGTTTACGCTATTGGTTCGTTTACAACTTATATAATGTATATTGATTTAGTTTATGAACATTACGCATCATTTATGAATGGGATCCCCTCATCACCGATCCAATAGTACTAGTGCGGAATATTGTGCACAAGTGATGCAATGATGAATGGAGGAAGGAGAACTCCAGGTTCCATTCATAAAAAGAAAATCTAATTTTCCATCACATTTCTTCTTTGCGCCACTGGACTTTGCTGGCTTAGAGGAAACCTGGAGAAAGATGATGGCTGCAGCTGCTGACCTCCTCCTAAAAAATCTAGTTGCCTGGATGTCCTTGGCCTCAATACTTTGTGATTCCCTGACCTGGAACAAACAGGCTGATCGGAATGTCAGACCACAGGCAGAACTGTCAGGACATCAGCGTGACAGCCAAGCAGTTAGCATTTTAAGAAGGAAAAATCAGCAATGGCCATCTCCATAGTCTGTCAGCACTCGTTTCCTTTAAACATCACAGTGTGATAAATTACTTCTAAAACAAAGATCGGTGTAAAGCAGAATTACGTCTCTGAAAAAGCAACATTTTTTCTACAAGACCTTGATAAACGTGCTGCATAGTAATATGTCTATATATTTATGTCATGTAATGTATACATCTGTCAGTTACAGGGTAAAGTTACCTTTTCCTTCTTTTATTTTCTGAAGGCCTCTTCGCCACGACCAAACACTGCGCCAGGTCAAATGCAGCGACCAGTCCGGCTGCAGCCGTTGCCAGCGTACACCTCATCTGGAAATGGAACAAAGATGTCTGCGGGATCCCGCCACAAGCACATTTCAGAAGAAGACGATCAACGCTATCACAGTGGGGTGAGACACTGATACAATTATATATAAACCTTTATTTCACAAGAGTTATTAAGTAACAATTTCTCCTTCTTTAGATTGATTTATTAAAGTATATGGAAGCCAATCTTTGAAATCTCATGCTTGTTTTAGCATGTTGATGTGACTTTAACCACTTGCCTACCAGGCACTTATACCCCCTTCCTTACCAGGCCAATTTTCAGCTTTCAGCGCTGCCGCACTTTGATTGACAATTGCGCGGTCATGCAACATTGTACCCATATGAAATTTTGATCATTTTTTTCTCACAAATAGAGCTTTCTTTTGGTGGTATTTAATCGCCACTGGGCGCTTTACTTTTTGCGCTATAAATTAAAAAAGTGCAAAAAATTTGAAAAAAAAAAAAGTTTATTTGTATCTTTTATAAAATTTTTCAAACAGGTATTTTTTCTCCTTCACTGATTTGCGTTGATGAGGTGGCACTGATGGGCACTGATAGGCGGCACTGATGGGCACTGATAGGCAGCACTAAAGGGCACTGATAGGCAGTACTAATGAGGTGGCACGGATAGGCGGCACTGATAGACAGCACTAATTAGGGGTCACGGATAGGCGGCACTGATATGCAGCACTGATAGGCGGCACTGATAGGTGACACTGATGATGGGTACTGATAGACGGCACTGACTGGCATCACTTCTGGGCACTGACTGGCGGCACTGACTGGCACAACCCCTGGGCACTGACTGGTGGCACTGACTGGCAGCACTGCTGGGCTGCACTGGTGGGTGGCACTGGTGGGCAGCACTGGTGGGTGGGCACAGGTGGGTGGCACTGGTGGGCACAGGTGGGTGGCACTGGTGGGCACAGGTGGGTGGGCACAGGTGGGTGGCACTGCTGGGCACATGTAGGTGGCACTTCTGGGCACAGGTAGGTGGCACTGCAGAGTGGCACAGGTGGGTGCACTGCTGGGCACAGGTGGGGGGCACTGCTGGGCACAGGTGGGGGCACTGCTGGGAACGGGGTGGGCGGGACTAGTGGGCGCACTGCTGGGCGGAACTTGCGGGTGTCACTGCTGGGCACCGATCATCAGGGCACTGATCATCAGTGACCTGATGATCGGTGCCGATCCCCGCTCTGACAACTGCCGGTTCTCGGCAGTACTTTCCTCACGATCTGACAGCATGAGGAAAGTGCAGCCGAGAACCGGCACTTGCATTTCCCTGTGATCAGCGTGTCATTGGACACCGCTGATCACGTGGTAAAAGGCCGGTGGGATCGGCCTTTCACCACATCACGTGATCAGCTGTGTCCGTAGGACACAGCGATCACGGAGATCGCCGGGTGCGCGCCCCCTGGGGCGTGCAGGAGAGCGCGTTCTGGGAGGACGTCATATGACGTCCACTCAGAACTGGCCGGCCGCGGTGAAGCCGTCATTCGGCTATGCGCGGTCGGCAAGAGGTTAAAAGTTCTTTCCAATATTTTAGAGCCGAATTCCAGGTAGATTGGTGTAGTTTAGAACAATTTAGCTACAGGGGTTGAACAAAAATATGTAAATACTACATGATTTGCAGATGTTAAAGTGATGACATGTTTTACGTTGAAAGCGGAAGTGATGTAACATTCTTTTGCTTCCACTGTGTGATGAGACACCTAGCTAACAGGTAGGACTAGGAAGGCTCACTTTTGTCATTCACTGTGTGCGCTGCTAGTAATATAGAGTCATGTCAGAGCTTACTGAGCTTCAGAGGGCAAATTGTTGGTGCCGCTTAGCTGGTGCCTCTGTGACTGAAGTTGTCAATTTATTTGCCGTGTCGTGAGGTACAGGATCAAAGGTCATGACGGCATATACACTTTCCGGGGAACTCTCTGATAAGCATAACCACGGTCGATATGGTCAACTGACCGAAAGAGACAAAAGGACATTGGGCAGGATTGTGACCCAGAATAAGAAAACAACTGCTGCAAAAGTGACTGTAGCAATCAATCTCGGTCTTCTAAAGCCACAAAACTTGTTTGGAAAGAACTCCATAAACAAAGTATTCACGGGCCAACAGCGACTGCCAAACCACTAATGAGCGATATTAATGGGAGAGAGTGGTGCAACAGCCATAAATCATGGACTACTGATCAACGGAAGAGTGTAATATGGTTTGATGAATTGAGCTTCACACTGTTCCCAACCACCGGACATGTTTACGTGTGCTGAACACTGTCCCTAGCTTACGACCAGGACTGTCTTGTGCCAACCGTAAAGCATGGTGGTGGCACAATGATGGTTTGGACAGCCATATCTTGGTATTCTTCAGAGTCCATCACCTCAAAGGTTAGAGTCACTGCCAGCGACTATGTACAAATTGTGGCCAACCATGTGCACCCCATGGTGCAGACATTGCTTCCCAAAGACAGTGCGTTTTATCAAGAATTTAATGCTCCGATTCATACAACTGATGTTGTAAAAATCATGATTTGATGAGCATGGAGATGATGTCTTGCACCTTCCCTGGGCACCCAAGTCACCGGACCTCAGTATCATAGAGCCACTATGGTCAATTTTGGAGAACAAGGTTTGGGCTCATTTTCCACCTCCAGCAGCTCTGCGAGAAGTGGAATGATCCGCCATCCAAAACTATTTGTTAATTTCCTAGGATTCTTCAGGCTGTTTTGAATGCCAAAGGCGATCCAACACCATATTAGGTAACAATTTCCTTCTTTTACCTGGTGTTCCCATAGTTTTGCCCAACACCTGTATATGCAGTACATGCCACACCTTGCCAATACCTGTGGAAGCTGGAAATCGATGTAGTAGGCACTGCTACTCCATCGATCCTTGCTGTCTTCAGCAGTCTGTGCCAAGCGGCTGTCCTGCTGCTTAGTGAAAATAGGGGGGTTTACCATTCAGCTTGGGCACTATTCACAAAAAACCTTGTATTTTTCTCAGTGAATGCAAAGTGTTCTCCGATTGGATGAGGTGTAGATTGTGATTTTACCACCCCAGCCTCCTTCATAGGGCCAGAAAATCCAGCATCACCTGATGTAACCTGCCGATTCACTGCATCACCATCTTCTATACCAGAGGTCTTCAAAAAATTTCTAAACAAAGGGCCAGTTTACTGTCCTTCATATGTTAGGGGGAAGGACTGTGGCCAGTGGGAGTAAATAATGCCCTGTCATTGGTCTCATTGGGATGAATTATGCCCCATTGTTGAAGTCAGTGGAAAGCACAGTGACCCATCTTTGGTGTCAGTGTGAGGAATAGTGTTCCATTGTTGGTGTCAGTGGCAGTAACAATACCTCAAGGGCTAGATTAAGGCAAGCAAACAGCCAAATCTGGCCCCGGGTCACAGTTTGGAGACCACTGCTCTATACTGACATCATCATGGGTCTGGCTGTCTCCTCCAGGGTCTTGGTCACACCTAATGACAATCTGCTGCATAAGCACAATGTGTCCAAGATCGCCTGGCACATATACAGTGTAATGGACATTGCCACATTGCCCCAAAGCTTCCTGGGATGGGTGATGTGAATATTTTACTTCAGGAGGGTTTGGGAAGGTATGTGTGTGTGTGTGTTTGGGGGGGGGGGGGGGGTGCTATTCTCGTTTAGGCAACAGAGTCTGAAGAGTAGGGGCCACAACCCAGAACCTGCATAGCGCATATTTAGAGAAAATGTTTTCTTCAATATCTGATCTTGTAATGAAAAATATCTAAAGTGTTAAAAGAGGGTGAAGGTTCACTTTAAAGGATAAGCTCACCTTTTGAACATGTTACATGTTCACCCATATTTGGGGTGGAACCTGTAGCATATTCCATCTCCTGCCCCCTCTCCCCATAATCCCCCTCTCTCCCCATGATCCTTCCCTCTCTGTGCCAATGGATGGGGATTCCTCTCCCTGCACCCGCTATCACTTTTTAAAAACAGCGCCGCTGTCACAGCGACGTCATTCATTCACAGATTCCTGTGAAGGAAAAAACTGCAAGTACCGTCTGCCACTGCAACAGATGGATTTGTAGTTTCAATAGGCTGTGGGGGCACTGAGTGCTCTTGCAGTCCTTTCAAACAGAAAGCCCATACAGAGGTGCAAGCTGGAGGAGATGTCTGCAGGAGCCCACATTGCACTCCTGCAGGAAAAAAATAATAAATGTGCATTTTTTTCTGCAAAAATATGTGGTTTTTTTTTTTTTTTTAATCCAAACTCTTTTTAATAAGAACAAGATCACAAGTTACAATGCATGACATCTTTACAAAAACAGGTAAAGAAGAATAAACTTTTATCTTACAATACAAGGTCATAACAATGTAAAAAAGTAAAATCAGTACATACGTGAGCCTGAGTTTCATTTAGTGAGTTAAATTTAACCAATAAATAAACAGGTGGAATTATCTACGAACTGAGGAAGTCATTGTGGGACTACATTATGCACCTTACAGATTACATAGCATAGAACGCTATAAAAGATATAGCTCTATAATGACAGGTTAGGTCTACAATTGAAGGAGCCTCGGCATAACTAGTTGAGATGGGGCCAGTCCCGGTACATCTAGCCAACCCTGCCAGGTTGACTTATATTTACGCTGGGCATTCAGGTGGCTATAAGTAAGTTGTTCTCTAAGAAGTAGGGTGTTGACATATTGGCCCTGATTTACTAAGACTTGAGTCTACCAGCAGACTCTGAACATTCAGGCAGACTCAGTTAAATCAATCAAGACCTGTCAGTCTTCTGAGCAGCGTCTAGCAATCTGATTGATGAACGTCTACTTTGCAATTAGTAAATGTGGAATCGCGTCTGGCACATTTTTAGGTGCAATTTAGGTGCCCCGTTGGCGTTTTCCTGTTAGCAAAAGAGAATACTTAGAATGTAACATAATTAGTACACCTATATTATTTTATTGCGGACCTTTATTTTTACATTCAGCTGTCAAAATAAATATTATAATAATATATATCGAAATAATTAAAATCATTACAGAAATAATTATAAAGGATAAGAAACAAAAAATAGAATCACTAGAACTAAGGAAATCAAATTAGAATACATAAAGATATGCTTAGTGCTGTTTGTTAAACACAGTAGACGTGACCGAGTGCCGGCTGTCAGAGGAATCCACACTGAGATTTACTATTGAGCAGTGGCTAAAAAGCAAGCGCCCAGCGAGGACGTCTAAAATGTGTTCTGCACATGCTCAGTTATATCCGGCCATAGACACTGCACGGGCGTCTAGTGTTTTACTGTCTTAATTTGCTTTAAAAAAACTATTTTTAACACATTCTTCATTTTTTTTGAAATGGCAGATATTGTTTAAAGTGAAGTCCTGATATTTGGCAAAGCAAATTTCAAAGTGAATATGTCTCTGCAGTGATTTTTCATGGTGTTAGACATGCCTCTTAGCAAGTCTGCTTTGTGAGTCTGATTCCGGGCGTGTGTCTCGTTAGTAAATTCGATTGGGTGTCTACTTATGGATGCTGCTCAATAGTAAATCTCGTTGGGGGTAAAAGTAGACGGTCGCTCGTAAAAATTAGACGTTCGCCCACGGAAATGCGCCCAGGCACAATAGTAAATCTGGGCCAATCTGTCCATTGTTCACATGTCGGAGAGGAGGATGACATCCAGTATCTGGCAATATGTTTTCTAGCAAGGTTTAGCAGGCAAGAAACCATAATATATACTTCTGGTTGGTACTGTTCAGCATCTACTGCTCCTAAGAGGCATATGACGGGATCTAGCTGAACAGATGATTGGGAAACTAAGGAGATGGTACGTATAACCTCAGTATAATATCTAGTGAACTTTGGACAACGCCAAAGCATATGAATGAAGTCTCCGCACTGTAGTTTTCATTTTGGACATAAGGGTGTGTCTCTCCTGCCCCAGTTATACAATTTCTCTGGAGTCCTAAAAACTCGATGGAGTATAAACAATTGAGTAAGCCTGTGCGCTGCGGACAAATAGATTATGGGTACAGATTCCAGCGCTATGTCCCATTGCTCACCACCAATCTCCCCAATGTCTGTCGCCCACTGGGCTCTACTTCCATGGGTAGCATGATTTTGTGTAGTGGTTAGCAGCGATACATATATTCAGGAAATTAATCCTGTTCTCACAGTGGTTCGGGCAACCTCCCCCATAAGAGGCGAATCTGACTTATGCAGACTAACGGATTGTGCCTGAGTTCGTAATGCGTGACACAATTGCAGGTAATGAAAGAATTGTTTGTGGGACAATGTAAATTCAGAGCATAATTGTCCAAAAGATTTAAAGACAGAGTCAAGAAATAGTTGGTCCATAAAACGTATCCCATGCTGTCTCCAGGCCTGAAACCCTTCAAGTTTGGCCAGTTCTGGATATGAAGGATTACTCCATATGGGAGTAGTATTCAGGTATCCTGTGATACCTAAAGAGGACTTAAGAGTGCTCCAAACCTTGCACAATAGGATAACAGTGGGACAAGTAGGAGGCAAAGCGGACAATACTATCTGTAGGTGAGAGATTGCTGAGGAGAGTGGGGTCGGTCAATGTAAGCAACTTGGTGACCGGGTGCGCATTACCCACTATCCCCCAGGCAGCTAAATGCTGGAACTGTGCTGCTAAAAAATATATTCTAGGGTGCGGAACGGCCAACCCACCCTTGTCTTTTGAATTTTACAGTGTCAAAAGCCAAATTCTAGCCTGCTGTTTTTTCTAACTTAAGCCCCTAAATTGCTTAAGCTTAACCCGTTCTGAGCCAGACAATTTGGGAAACAGACACCCTGCTAGAAAATCTGAAAGTTCAGTGGGAGTGGTGGCATATTTGGAAGCATACAGGTTTCCATAGAACTGCTGAACTGTATCCAGAATATTAACTTGAGAGCTATGGAGAATGTCAGGTAATGACTGGATAGCATCTATAGAGGTGTCGTCTTGTTGGCCCCTGGCCACCAGGGCCAGGAGATGCCCAGTGTTTTTCTCCCTCTTCAAAATATCTCTGCTGGAGAAAGTATCGTTTTTTTTTTTTTAGAAGCAGAGAGGAACACCGAGTTATACATGGACTGGGCCTCCTGCCATCTAGATTGTGTGAGAGAATTAGGATCCGCCACCATGGCAGCTTCCCTTTGCTGCAATTCTAGTTTGAATTTGTCTTCCCATTCCGCAGATCTGCTTTTAATAGATGTGGTTTTGCTAATAGTGAGCACCCTAAGGTACACCTTCATAGAATCCCATACTATAGCCGGAAAGGAGGATCTACGTTCTGCCCAAGAAAGATAGACAAATCCTCTGGGATAGGGTATGTGCTTTTATTATTTATTTTTGTAAAGGTCAACTTAGCCTTTAATTTAGCCAATATATCACTTAAATTCCAAAAGGGTAATACACACGTGCAAGACTCTACTACTTCCATATTTACCAACAATCACAAGCAGGCGAGCAACCATTTTTTTAAATGAGCCAGTTAGATCAGGCAGGTTTATAGGTAATATCTTTGGCTGCCTAAGCATGACAGCCAAGCAAATAGCATTTTCAGGTAAAAGGTCAGTAGTGGCATTGGTGGTAAGCTACAACAGATTTACAAAAGAGAAGGTGTTTGTGTCTTACACTGGAACCATTTAGATACCAGGTGCCATTGTTCCACTGTAGGTGGACATACAAAAATACAATTGGTTGCTTTGGTTAATGCCTTCAATAAGGCAATATAAGATAAAACCTGCACAGTCCATTTAAACTGTATCCAATTAGGCAGGCCCTTCCATTACGTAGCTGATGGTAGAGCTTAATGGTCAGCTTCAAATTGGTAATCACTGAGAAACATCTGACCAACCAACTGTGTCTTCATCTTTCAGACTGAAAAGGATATTTTTAAGACAATGAATGCGACAGATCATTCAGTAGGCATCTCACCTTATCGCCTTCCTATCATTAACAACTTTGTGATGCCCGTTCCACCGCCACCCCAGAAACAACCAAAGAAGACAATGAGTACCATGTCCAGAGGGAGGCGGTACCGACCCACCACTGCGCCAAATGGACTTGAGGTTACCGCTAAGGTAGATATTGCCGCTGTGTGTGAGAATTGCTATTTGGTATGTGTCATTGGGAATACTATTACAATTATTAAGGATAAGATAATGCATGTCATTCATTAGGGATATTCTCTACCCTGCACACAAAGGGGTGGGGGTGCTCATGACTTCAATGGTCAACGTGTCCATGTTGGGTCAATGATGTCATGAACATACCCACCCAAATTTGGACCCAACTCAAGCTCATCACTAGTAGAGAAGACTTTTATCGTAGTCTGCTCCCCCATGTGAAAGATAGCCCTTCACCTCCTGTCCTGGAGACCCAACAAGAAGTGACAGAGAATATCTTAAAAAAACAGGAAAATTCCCTCTTAGACTTTTGTCACCAGGACAGGTGTCCTCTCCTGACCTGTTCCAGTGACAACTGTAATAATTTAGATTTTCAATCACTTGCTGTTTCAATGACAGTGGTCATTCATTCATTAGGGATATTCTCTACCCTGTACACAAAGGGGTGGGGGGTGCTCATGACTTCAATGGTCAACGTGTCCATGTTGGGTCAATGATGTCATGAACATACCCACCCAAATTCGGACCCAACTCAAGCTCATCACTAGTAGGGGGAAGACTTTTATTGTAGTCTGCTCCCCCATGTGAAAGATAACCCTTCACCTCCTGTCCTGGAGACCCAACTAGAAGTGACAGAGAATATCTTAAAAAAAACAGGAAAATTCCCTCTTAGACTTTTGTTAGCAGGACAGGTGTCCTCTCCTGACCTGTTCCAGTGACAACTGTAATAATTTAGATTTTTCAATCACTTGCTGTTTCAATGAAAGTGGTCACCAGCAGTGCCAAGACAAGGTCACAATGTATGAATATTATGTGTCAGCAAAAATCACCTCCCCCCCCCCAAAAAAAAAAAAAATGTGGGCACTATTCTTCATATTTACCCCCTAACCCAAAATTCTCCCCAAACTAAAATCCCCCCATTTCCAGTGCAAATACCTCCCCCTGCCAGCTCAAATCCTCTACCTCCCCAAATACCCCCTACTAGCACAAATCCCCTACCCTCAAATTTATCCTCTGAGAATAAAACCTTACCACCCCCCCTCCAAATCCCCCTCTGCCAGCACAAATCCCCCAAATCCCTTCCTAGCACTTAAGCCTGGTACACACTATTAGTTTTTTTTTTTTTAAACTGACAGCTCAGAATGAGCGGCTGTACTAACTATCTGATGGTAGTACAATGATCCCCCTGCTGTGCTATTGTGTTCTGACAGGGGTGCATCCATCCCACAGAACACTCCAATCAGCGTTCTCAGCCATTCCCAGATCAGGATCTGATCGTCTGACCTTTTTTTGGTCATGCCCCTTCAACAGAAGCCAGCCGAATGGCCCGCTTCTGTTGGACCAGCTGCCACACACATGGGCCGATGTCAGACATTTTCTATTGAACCGGCCAATGCTGTCCAACATTGTCCCGTATATACTAGGCTTATTATCCCCCCCCCCCCAAATTTCCCCTCCTAGCAAATACCCCCAATTATCCGTTCTATTCCAAATCCCCCTCAATCCCCCTTCCTAACAGAAACCCACTCTCCTAGTACAACTTCCCACCTCCAAATCACCTGTTCTAGCACAACCATCCAAAATCCCCACTGCTCCCAGAGCAGCTCCTCCTGTCCACCCCTTGTCCCGGCCGTAGTCACCAGGACTAATAGACTGGGTGAATCTCCGCACCAAGGACACAGACTGGAATAAAAGGACACTGAAAACAATCAATAACTGATAAATATTCTTAGAATATGAAAACAATGGTTTCTTTAAGATCATAACAAACGTGTAAAGCTGGGTACACACTAGTAGAATTTCGTATGAAAATTAGTATGAAAGTTCTCATTCAAATGTCGTTCGAAAGAAGTTCAAGATGTTGTCTGCTTTTAACATTAAATTGTGTATTGAATGGACTTCATCAAATGAAAACCACATACACTGTTAGAAATAGATTCATTTGAGAAAAAATTTCTATTCTGCTCCTTTGAATTTTCTCATAGCTGCTGTTGAAAAAGAACATCAATTTGACCCCAATAAAGATTAGAAAAATGAAAAAAAAAAAAAAAAGTTCTTACAACATACGAAAAATGTTGAATAAAATTCTACTGTCGTATACCCAGCTTAACGCACAAATGAGATTTTTTAGGGTTCAACACTCAAAATAATTTATTAAAAGACATCACTTTACTATGCCTTAGTTAAAACCCCTATATATGGTACATATGCGATTCCTTATGAGATACAGACAGAATATAATAACAAGAATGATTTTTTACTTTTTCCAAGCTACTAAGCTTTTATATATCCATGACCATTCAGTATTTTACCTCCATAAAGTCATAGCTTTTATCCAAAAGATCTCACAAATCTTACTGGCAACCACTGAAGCAGGGAGATGTACACTCACCAGCCACTTTATTAGGCACACCTGTTTAAATGTTTGGTAACAAAAATTGCTAATCAGCCAATGACATGGCAGCAACTCAATGCATTTAGGCATCTAGACATGGTGAAGATGGCTTGCTGAAGTTCAAACCGAGCATCAGAATGGGGAAGAAAGGGGATTTAAATTACTTTAAAAGTGGCATGTTTGTTGGTTTCAGATGAGCTGGTCTTTCAAAAACTGCTGATCTACTGGGATTTCATGCACAGCCATTTTCTAAGATTTACAGAGAATGGTCCGAAAAAGAGAAAATATCCAGTGAGCGGCAGTTGTGTGGATGAAAGTGCCTTGTTGATCTAGTCAGAGGAGAATGGGCAGACTGGCTCCAGATGATAGAAAGGCAAAAGTAGCTCATGTCAATATGAACCATAATCTCTGAGAAATGTTTCCAACACCTTGTTGAATCTGTGTCACGAGGAATTAAGGCAGTTTTGAAGGCAAAACAGGGTCCACCTCGGTCCTAGCAAGTTGTACCTAATAAAGTGGCCAGTGAGTGTATATTCCTCAATGTGTTTCATAGACCAATGGTCTACTTCCTCAGGCCAAGCAAGGGAGTCGGGTATTAGAATAGCATAATGTCATAAATAGGTTATAAAATCATTGATAGTATTCATAAATTCGGCCATTCCAAAACCCACAAAGATGACATCATAGAAGGGGTCAGCTAGTGGGAATACCACACAGGAAGTATCTGGCTTTGTATCACCAGATTATGAATATTTCATTCATTTGGATACTAACAGGATCCACACACCAACTGTACAATCCCAATCTACAATCACATGTAACTCTATCATAATTCAAAGGACAAGGAAAATCCTTAAGGGTTGTCGTGTTTTATTGCCAAGCTTTTCCACCACCAGGTGGGCATGCCCCACCAACCATCTGATGGTGGAAAAGCTGTGAAATTCAACCCGATGACCATTGGGGATTTTCCTTCTTTTATTTTCATACAGGATAAAGGTACTTGTGACTATAAATTGGGATTGTACAATTGTTTAGGGGAAAGCTCTGTTAGTATCCAAGTGAACAATATATTCACCACAAATTTTCCTTTATCATGATTTTTCAAAAAAAGCAATGAAATAATTTGAAGTGTAGTTGAGATAATCTGTTCACAGATCTGCAGAGGCACCACTAAAAAAGAAGACGGGACTTGTGCATTAAGCAACACACATCATCGTGTAGTGCCCCTCTAGGTTACCAGGGGGAGCTAGTTTTTTTTAGTGAGGAAAGCTGAGTAGCAGCGTGGGCATGAGTCAGCCTGGGTGTTAGACAGTCAGGTTATTTTAGGTCAGGGCTGAGGGCTCTGCAGATCAGTTCCCTGATACCTCCCCATGCTCTAGAGACTTGAGAATTTTGTAGAAGGCAGTAGGTGGGGGTGAAGAGGGACTAATCTGCATACTTAGGGGATGCTGGCCAATCTGCAGGCAGGAGGCTTGGCATGAAGTCAGGAGAGCCCTTTAGTATGACTGAGCCTGCTCAGCAGCAGGAGAGTTTGGGTGGAAGATGGAGTGAGAGGCTGGGATGCAGGAGCCTAGGAGGGGGCCCAGTGGGAAAGGGCCTGCCTCCAGGTTGGGCTTGGAGGGGAGGATTGCTTGATCTCACCAGTCCCCAGAAAGAGGACCAACTGTACAGCCAGGGAAGGAGCCAGTCCAGTAGAAGGCCTGTGGCAGCCACCAACCCAACAAGCCTGCAGACGAGGAACAGTAAGTAATCCTTCACCCCTTGGGCCAGATAAATAGAGAGGACATTCTGGTGGAAAACCTGACTAGCCCCTATCTGGGACTGTGCACTTAAAACAACAGATTCTGGGACCCCTTGCTCAAGGACTCCCTCAGTACAGCTAGATGAGAAGAGGATTCATCTGGGGTCTGGAGTGGTACACCAAAAAGAGGTCTGTTAAAGAGACATCTACATAGTTAGTTATTCAGGAGTTGTCCACAGTTACCGTTTCTTGGGCAACCCATACATCCCTCAACTCCATCCAAGTTTATTACCCCTCAATAAAAACACAAAAAAACAAGCCTAAGAACTGTTCACTGTCTCCTGTGTGCAAGGTCTGAAGAAAATGCATGTTGCCTGACTGTGCAGGACTATAGGGGGACCCAAAACTTAGTGACTCCTAAGAGGTAGTACTACAAATGCATTTCATGGCACTACACTGGGACACAGATGTGTGAGCCCTATAGGGGGGTGTCCTGCAACCCCATGGATGTGACTATAATCTTTCCATCAATTTTTAAAATTTATTTAAACACAATGTCTCCAGATGCTTCAACAGTACTCCACTCAGAAGGTTCTCTCCGGTGACTTTTTGTCCCATTTTTCTTTCCCTTTCCCCAGTTTTCGGAGGATCATCACCTGCCAAAGCAATAATTAGAGTCTGGATGAAATCTTTAATGCTAAATATTTTTTAATTATGCAGTATGTGTTTATAGAAGTTTTCTTGTTGACCCAAAAAGAGGGACAACTGAAAAGAAAGAGTAACAAAGATATTGGGTTCCAAAGTAGGGACAGTTGGGAGCCATGCATATGACACATCCGTTCCCAGTTCTGTACTTTCAGGATGACGAGACATTATTACAATAGAAGGAGATATGACCTTTAACTTTTTGAACAAGAAACCGCAGTTAAAACATTGTTAAGGAATATATTTCACCCTTGTGGTTCGTATTTGAAAATTTCCAATTTGAGGTTCCTTTAATGTCATGGACCGGTATATAATTCAGCCTCTGTCCCCACAAATCACCGGCATTGCATGTCAGGAGCGGCTCCAGATTATTAAAGTTCTTGGAAGCCGGTGATCTGAGACTGTCCTAGGACTGCTTTGTGACACGGATGTTTTATAGCAATACCCAGCCTTGTGCTGATTTGCCGGCAGAGTGACGTGATTTATCTTTTTTTTTTTTTTTTTTTTTTCAGGATACGGGAAAGTTTCATAAAACGTCCTTGCACAGTAATGTAAAAATTACCATGGTTTATCTAGGAAAAAATGTGCATCTATCACACGACGATGATGACTACAGAGATGAAATTAAAGTGTTTCAGCAGCACTGCGGCGGAGAGAACCTCTGTGTTTATAAAGGGAGACTTCTGGAAGAAGGTGAGTACTGGGAAATCAACAACTTTGAATTGGGATGGGGCCTTAAGCAGGGGCGGATTGACCATTTGGAAACTCGGGCACTGCCCGAGGGCCCGGGGTCAGTAGGGGGCCCCATGAGATGCCCCTGGTACCTTTTTCATAGGCTTTTTTGAGTTTGGGCAAGGACACAGGGGCCCCAAGATCCCCTATTGCCCAGGGGCCCCATGAGTTGTCAGTCCACCCCTGGCCCTAAGCAATGCAGCAGCTTTGGCCCCCTTTCCCTTAGACTGATACTGATATGGACAGGACATTGAGTGACAGGTGCACAGATTTTATTAAATAATGTACGGGATGTATATACAACAGTTTACGCAGCACTGTAGAACATAAGGCAGACAGTACCATTACAATACAATTGAATACAGGAGGAATCAGAGGGCCCTGTTCATTACAGCTTACAATCTAAGAGAGAGGTACAAGAGATACAAGAGGTAATGACATGACCAATTGAATTACTGTAGGAGCATGATGGTTCTAGCTGGGCCTCCTGGACATCCAGCAGGTCCTAAGCTCTTGCCTAGGTTGCCTTGTGAATAATCCAGATCTGGCTTTGGGTGACAAGTAGGTTCAGTCAGTGAGGTGGACTTACTAAAGGAAAATAGACTATGCACTTTGCAAATGCAGTTACTCTAGAGCTTAGTAAATTAGATGAAGCTTCACAAACTTCCATCATCCAATCATGTGTAAGCAAAAATGCAATTTTTTAAGATTTCCCTTGCATGTGATTGGGGATTCTTTGCAGAGTGAAGCTTCATCTAATTTACTAAGCTCTGGAGCAACTGCATATGCAAAGTGCACAGTCTATTTGCCTTTAGTAAATCCACCCCAATAACTCAAGCTACAATCTATTGAAGTAAATAATTGACCAGCGGACTCTTCCCCTTTCAGTTAGAAAGAAAGTTAGACAGGCCAGTAGTGTTGTCATGTTTCTTTAGATAACCCATATATAATTTACACAAATGTAAATTCATTCATTAAAAAAAGTATACCAAGAGTTTTAAAAATAGATATAAATGATCAATTTAAACGCATTACAAATTGACCCAAAGCCATTAATGTTTACTTAAAACAACAATCCGTGAACATGAAAACAATTTCCCAAATCTGAAATTTTAAAAATCAAATCTTCAGTTAAACAATGGAAAATATCCCATGGGTGATCATTATTTTTTCTTAGCAAGTGAGTATTTGAATCTCATGAATCTTTATTTTATATGCACCTGAATAGAAATGTGGTAAAAGCACAGAAAAAAAAGCAAGGCAATTTAGAAAAAAGCACAGAAAGGGTTAAACAAGCTACTAAATCGAAAGTCAATAAACGTGAAATCCTCTTTATTGCATGAAATAGATTTTGCGTTTATGGTCATACCTTCGCGCCTTGTGACAAGTTTGTTTACGGTTGCAGAGAATTTCAGTTTGGTCTCCAGGCGTCACCGTGGCTTCCCGTTTAGCCTCACCTTCTACATTAATGGGATCCAGGTGGACCGTTTAAGCTCATGCTGTGAGTACAAACACCGCAAAGGAGCGCGCCTCGGAGGCAAAAATGGGTATTTTGGAATCATCAACGTCGAAGGAGCTTCTCCTTGTTACAGGTAACGCACGACCTGAGGACAAGTCCTGAAAATAAAATGCTTCAATCTCGATAAAAGCAATGGAATAGTAAAAAAACAAACAAACGTCTGTGCTGTGTTACCCTGTGTGCTTAAAGTGAACCTTTACTGGTTAAAGTGACATTTTACCAAGCAAGGAGGCTTCAGGCATTAAATGTAGATTCCTAGAGGTCCTACACACCTATGGATCTCTTCAGTAATGTCCCAGGAGGCCAGAAAGCCAAGGCACCTACATTAGAAGTTCAGGCAAACAGCTTAATTCATAGCTTAACCTCTTGGCGCCGGCCGCATGCAAATGTGCGGCCTCCCGGCGTCTGGACCTTGATGCTGAGCGGCCGCACATTTGCGTGCAATTAAGAAAAACATATGTGCTGAGAGTGCGCGCCCTGCTCGCTCCCAGCACACGTGTCTGGTACTCACGGAAAGGTACCAATCTCCTCTTTCGATCGGGACCTTTTTCGATCGTGTGACCTCTGTGACGGCGTGTCACGGCGGTCACATGACCCTAAACCCCGCCCCACCTCTCAGCTTCTGAAACCTTATAGGGCCGCGAGGCGCCTGGCGCCAAGGGGTTAAAGTAGAACTAAATAGCAACTTGTTTTTAATTTTGGATAGAGTAAGGAAAGGGTTATAACCCCTGTCAGTTTTTTTTGCCATCTGTGACCCAGTGGGGAGATTTTTGTTCACTTCCTGTCCCATAGCCACAGCCTACAATATGGAAATTCCACCAAAGTGAGGGAAGTCCCTCGTAGTTATCAGGTTCATCAGGACTAGTGTCTTCATTGGTCAACTATTTCAGTGCAATCCCACCACCAAACAAGGCAAAATCAGGTCACACCACCGAGTTGCAGCAGTTATTCTGAGTTTCAAACCACAATAGTAATGAATTTCAGTGAATCCAAAATAAATTAGAGGAAAACATCAAATTAATTTGTATTCATTTGTTTCATTTGGATGACATAATGTGATAGTTTGGGCCTTTTGTTAATGTTTGAAGCATCCAAAATAACACATCAGCATACTGAATGATCCAAATTGATTCAGATCCTTTTGTTTTATCCGGATATGAGGGGCGTGGTAGTCTTTGACTCTTTGATAATCAACCAATATTTCTGCATTACATTTTTCATTGTCCCTCCTGATCCACTTGCTCAATGTTGCCAAGACTTGCATCTCACAAAAATGGGAACACACAGACCCTCTGTCGATTGGTCAATGGGTGGCTGTGGTAAACAAGATTATTGATATGGAAAGCTTAACAGCGGCTATGAAACGTAAAGAGGAACAATTCCGTAAAACGTGGTATTATTGGCACGAGTTCCAATTTTCATGGGACTATACTTCATATCTATCTTTTCAGGTCATATAGGCTCCAACCCAGGAAAAACCAGCTACTTTGTATTTTTTTAGCCTCTTGGTCAGGCACCAGTCCCCGCCTCCCCTACCCCAACCTCTTTACCACAACCCCCTTTTTTCCCCGTTTCTCTCTCTTTCTTTTCAATTTTTTTTTCTTGCTTACGTTCCCATGATTCCCAAATACACTATTATCTCTCCTTTAGGCGCACCCTGAAAACCCATCTCTTCAGGGAAGCCTACCCCACCCCCTGCTAACCTGCCGACCTCCTCCACTCTTCCTACCACTCCCATTCCCCACAGCTATCTCCTCCTGTACCACCATCCCCTCCCTCCTAGATTGTAAGCTCCAAGGAGCAGGGCCCTCAATCCCCTCATGTTTTGCATTGTATTGGTATTGTTCTGTCACATGTTCTGTCCCCCTTTGTAATGTACAGCGCTGAGCGAACCATTGGCGCTTTATAAATACTGTATTATAATAGTAATAATAATAACATAGGTTTAAAAATGCTCTCTTAGCTTTAGCCACATGGGTTGGACCTCGCTTGTGCACTAGTACTCTACGGTTAGGAGCAATGTGATCCCGTCACCTGGTTTTGCCCTGATAGGTTCTCTACGGGTTTATGAGACACATAAGATGACACGTTCCTACTGTGCTCTGCATTTTTCTTTGTTATTTTTGTTATTTTATGGCTGACATTATCCCATTTGTTCAACAGTCTATTTACTGTTGTAATGTACCATGTGCTTTGCTGAAGAGAGAAATTAAAAACTATTAATTTAAAAGAAAACTAATGTACATATGAAATGGAAACATATTGCATTAAATGCAGTAAAGTATAAAAGTGAACTAAGATGATTCCTATTTATTGTGTTTGGGTTGGATGGAGGTAGATCCATTAGAATCTCCAAATCATAACATAATAAATGAATCCAAAACTGATTTTGTTCCATTCTGGTACAAGTATCGATACTTTCGGTCAAGTACTCACTGATACCGATTACCAATATTTTGTGGTGCAATTTGCGCTAATGGATGCAAATTGCACCGCAAAGAATTGGTTAAGGTATCAGGAGTATTTTCACTTCTACGAGTACTCATAAAAATACTTGGTATCCATTAATGCAAATTGCACTGCAAAATATCGGTTAAGGTATCTGAAGTATTTTCACGAGTACGAGTACTCATGAAAATAATAGATACATCCCTACATTTGTTAGTTTCATTACTCAGGTCAATACTGTCCAATCAGCTAATTCCAATTCTCTTTGTGGTTTGGACTAGCAGGGATGACTCAGAGTGCATAAAAAATCTCCCGAAATAACGAATTATCAAGTTAAAACAAATATATATCTAATCTTCCTAAATAACTTCTGAAAATCAATTCAGAACAACGAATATGCGAAACGAATCTGAATATATTCATCGAATTCTGAAAATGAATCATTCTAACATAATAAATATGATGAAACAAAATGATTTACTTAGAGCGGTAGTAAAGTCTGTTTGTTAATCTTGTTCTTACGGGTAAACCTATATTAAGGCTTACCTGTAGGTACAGTAAATATCTCATAAACGTACACCGTTTAGGAGATATTTTTTTTTTAATCAGGTCATTTTTACTAGAGAGTTTTTCATGAAAGATTCTTTACAAACATTTCCAACAAAGGAAAAACAACGCCTTAATAGTGCCTTATCAAAAGGCACATAAACAATATTTCTCCATAACACAGTAAGAAAAAGTAGAAAAAAGGTTTACATCGTGCATTCCAATATAGGTAAAAACACCATATATATTCAACTGACCTCTTGCACCTGATTAGGGTTATAGGCAAGGAACCCAACAGAGAAGCAACACCCCTCTCAGACAGGCTGGTCAACCAAAGAAACAAAAGTGGACTCTGCAGAGGACAACCAGGGGTTCCAAGTTTTACTAACTTTTTTGGGACATCCTCTGTGTTTATAGGCTAGTTCTTTCTTCTGTAGGTTTGTGTTAACTGCTACCAGCCGTTGTGAGATCATAGGAGGGGAAGGTGAGAGCCATTTTTGTAATATTAACTTACGAGCAATATAAAGAGCCCTGGTCGATAGCAAACAAAAATCAGCAGGTAACATTTCTTCAGGAAGAATGCCCAAGATAGCCAATTTAGGGTCAGGAGGGATCTCAACAGAGCATATACTGTTAAGTATTTAGAATATGTTAGTCTAGTAATGATGGAGTTTAGCGCAGTGCCAAATCATATGGTAAGATTACCCATATTCGCTACACAACATGAACAAAAGAGATATTTAGTTGTAGCTGGTAACCTCACTGGCACATGTGCACTGTGCTCTCAATGGATGGCATGCTGTCCATTGAGAAAGCTATGCCTTGGCCGTAACTCCAACACACATCATCATGGCTCAGCTATTAGGTGGATGGAGTCCACAAAACTGGAAGGAAGATGGGGTGAAGATGGAAGCCCTGTCAGTGGGTCAGTGCACCACAGGATTGGAGGGATTAGTTTTCATGTAAGTCTTTCATAATGTTCTAGTATGCAATACATATTGGCACATTATGCTCTTAACTTGCAGGGGGTAGATTTTTTTGGGTTTTTATTTTGCGGTTTACTACCGCTTTAAAAAAATTATTCCGAAAACAAATTAATTTTTCCCCCCGTGCACATGTCTAGTGTGTGCTGATAAAAAGTATGTATTTTTCCCAGTGCAGCACAGTGTGAGGCTATCCACCATGTGGGAAATTACAGGAGGATAGTATGAAGCCAAATGAAGACAGAATGAGGTACTATTAAAAATGAACCTTTGATTTAGTTTTGGCTAGCGCACTGAACAGACAGAATCTGTAAGAGTTTTATTACTCTCTGTGTTTCCATTGGGGAGATTCATCTTCTATTTCTTCTGCTGACCATTGTCACCAGAACAGAAAGAGATGGGAAATCCAAAATCTTACATTTTTCATGTGCACTTCCAGTGGGGAAACTCATGCCCGAGATGACAGTTAAAAAGTTCCCATCAATTTGGAAAGATTCCCTCTCACTTCATGTTGTGTCTCTGGAACAGGAAACTACCTCTGTCTACGATTTGTTTACACAATTGGTTTTATTGCAGATGTATCATTGCCATGGGCCTAGATAAAAAGCCATCTCCCCCACCTCCAAAGAGCAAGCACGCCCTTGATGAGAATGGGGAGCAGGAGGAGAAACCAGAGGAAGAACAGAATGACAAATCAGACATGGAGGATGAGCCTACGGAGAGATGCTACGATGAGCCTGATGATAAATTGGGACAGGAAAGGTCTGTCCACGAGGATGGCGATCCAAAGGAAGGTAAATCAAATATGGACTATGAAGAGGATGGAGAGGAGGAGGAAGAAGAAGATGTGGAGAATAAGGACATCAAGACAGACGAGTATGAAGCAGATGATGAAGCCAAGGATGGTAAGGTCAAAGAACCTTTTTAAGAGGTGTATTTAAAATGGAATTTTAGCTAAACATAGATACAAGGGTAAACTCACTGTAAAACCATTAGGGTGACACCACTGTTTACAGTTTCAGATCTGTAGCTTCTTCTATTACCTTCAGGTATGATTCTGCCTATGCTATCCTTCAGGCTGCATTCACACTATAGCGTGTCACAAACATGCACAAAATTATGCTATTTTGCCTGTGTTTATGAAACACTCAGAAATCACATGTGCTTGTGCTGCCATTCATCTGTACCACCCTCTCAGCTAGGTTGCTGAAAAGGTTTAGGTAGCTAGGGTTTTTTTTTGGTTCCTCTGTAATCAATGCAGTGGTGTGTTAATATTTTGGGCTGTTCTGGGTTTCACTGGCTGCAGACTCAGCTGCTTCCCCCTGCCTTCTCGTGGATTCTAGAATGTAGTGTGCTGGAAGAGGCAGATCCTCAGCCCGGATGTTTTATTTGGTCTCAGCCAGTCCCAGGAGGAGGATGCCCAATAGATGGCTGAGGAGTGCATAAATGGTCCCAAGCCTGGGACAGCCCTGTTCTTGCTCAGGAGGATATGTCCCCAGTCTGAATGGCTGCTGCTTTTCTGGACAGTACAGCTGAAACTTTACAGGAGATCATACAGGCCACAGCTCACCCAGAGCTGGAGGCCTATTTTCTGAAAAGAACTGGAGCTGGTCAAGGGATTTCACTGAGGACTTGGAGTTAATGGGAGAAGTGTCTCTTGTATTTTGTAAATAGGAATCCAGATGTCCAGGGACATTGTGAGTACAGACCAGGGGCGGACTGACAACTCATGGGGCCCCCGGGCAATAGGGGATCATGGGGCCCGTGTCCTTGCCCAAACTCAAAAAAGCCTATGAAAAAGGTACCAGGGGCATCTCATGGGTCCCCCTACTGACCCCCGGGCCCTCGGGCAGTGCCCGAGTTTCCAAATGCTCAGTCCGCCCCTGGTACAGACCTGAATGCAGATTCCTTGTGACTGCTGCTACTATCCCTTTGTTCATCAGTCCCAGTGCTTGCTTGGATTGGGAAATTCCTTTCTTAAGTGCTGCTCATTTTCTTTGTGGCTTCTAGATGGGCTGTGCTAAGATATTTAGACGAAGTGAAGAATGTCCTCTGCTTGTTGTATTGTGCTACAGGAATATCCCATAGCTCCCTGCACCCTATCCAAGTTCAGTTGATAATGAGCCACCAAAAGATACCCCTAGACTGTTAACTGAGCCAGAAGAGTGACTGTCTTGGTGTGCGTGGCTGCCTTTACGCTTATCTAGGGAAGAGAACCAGGGACTACTGAGCATGCCCTTTTGGGGGTGAGTGCTGCACATTGTTAATGGCATCCCAAAAACAGCAAGCACTACTTACAAAGCTTGAAGCTCAAAAAGATGCATGAGCTACTTTGCCACGTTTGTTGCCTGTTGGGCAACCCACTGAAACCTTTGAGCTGCCCTATTTTCACAGCTCAAAAAACTTGCACAATCTACCTAAACACCTCTTCTTCTGCCCCCAGTGCCTGAAAACATGCAATGCAAAACAACATGGATTTCTCTTGATGTGGTCTGAATTTTGCAGTGCATGGGGTGGTGGGAAGATAATATTAATGTAGATCTCAGGCAGTTATACTATGGTAGCAATACTTGATAATACATAATAGTATATTGTGCACAATGCTGGCATAAAGGGGACTTTTTGTTTGCCCGGAATTCTGCGATAAGTTTCTAACTTTCTGAAAAGCAAAATATGAAAGCTGCCATTGATAACTTGTAATTGGTGGTGTAGGCTCCAAAGCTGAAGCATTCCCATTGTGTCTTCACTACCTGGAGAAGTGGTGATCAACTTGAAAATAATAGAGGACCCTAAGTGCGGACCTTGACCCATCCAAAGGGTCTCATTAGCTGTGTGTTTTTTTTTTTTTTTGCTTTAGCAGTGTGAGGTCCATGGTGTTGAGTTAGGCAGCTCATTCATAATGAAGTCAAAATTAATAGGCTGTAAAGCACCTTAACGCTCCAAAATTTTGGTCATGCTGCATTTTTTGTAATGTGCAGCAATGCATCCTAAGGAGAAAGTTAGAATGATCATCGGTGTCAGTGGCTGCAATAAAAACCTCAATCTTTGGTGTCAGTGGCAGCAACATTTAACCCACCCTCCAGTGTAGTGGCAGTGAAGTTTAATCTCCAATTTCCCTCCCCCTCCCCCTTATTGCCCTAGGGTCAATGCAGGGGCAAAGAACTTTGCCCCCCCTTACCCTCACGCTGGAGGTCTTTGCAGTAGTAGCGGAACTTATACCCTCCTCTACGCTGGCAGTCAGTTAAGTAACATTTACCCTTACCTGATCATACGCTCTAGCTCAATGCTCCCTCTCCCCATCCAGGCTATTGCAGGCCATTTTCTTTAGAAAATTGGAAATTTAGTCCATTTTATAAATCAGATGGTGCACACCATTGATTTCGAAATTCGACCAACCAAACTTTGAATTTCAACTCGTTATTAAAGAAAAGAATTTTTGTGGCTGGGAATCTTCTTCTTTTCTTTCCAGGTCACAGCTCATGCTCATTTCAATTTCGATGACATTTCTTGCACGAGTCATTCGTTTTTTTAAAAAATTTCCAACATGCCCAATTTCCGACATGCCATTCAAGTTCGATGGCTGTAGGAAAATTGGCCAATGTTGCAGCCCACTAATGGTGCGAAAAGTTTTAGTTACGATTTTCGAAACAAAATTCTTTTGGAAATCAACCCATGTATGGCCAGCTTTAGACTTGTACTGTGAGCTAACTGCTCACCTGACAGAACTGTGTATTTCAATGCCAGGTGCTGGAATGCGGAGCATTTCAGCACCTGGGAACCACCCTGCCACTCTGCAAATCCATCAAGGTGCCCAACAGGTAGTGGCCCAGCCCAGGACACAGCAGGACGTACATAGACAGCCAGGGGGCTGCATGATGGCCACTAAGAACCTAGAGAGTCAATGAGCTGGAACTGACTGGAACCGACTGGTGGTCAGACTTTTTTAGACTCCACGGTATGCATGCATATACGAACTCAATGTCCCAGAAGGCACCAAAACCAAGATTTAGATCACAGCCCCTGAAGTTGAATCTTTTAAGGCGATTGTAAAAAGTGTATATTTTTTAAAATAATAAACATGTTATATTTACCTGCTCTCTGCAATGGTTTTGCACAGCCCTGATCCTCCTCTTCAGGGGTCCCCCCACACTTCTGCTTCTCTCCGCAGCCGAGCACCCCATAGTAAGCATATGGGGGCACTTGTGTGGGCTTTATCCCAAGCCATGCTGTGTATCCATAGACACACAGAGTGGATAGGCCCTGCCCTCGCTCTCCTCACAGGCTATGATTGACAGCAGCAGGAGCCAATGGCGCTGGATTGAGATCAGGCTCATATAAGTATTTTGGGGGCTAGGGGGGATCCCGTTAAGAGAAGGTTTTTAACAATAATGCAATCACTTAAAAAAACAGTCTAGCAAGGGCAGCTCCCCCATTCTTATACTCACAGGTTCAAGTTAAGGCCAATTTGTAGTACCTCTTGCTACGTACAGATGGCAGTGTTGTCATACTTTTTCTTCTTTTCTTTTTTTTGTAGCTAAAAAAGCAGTTGAAATACACACACACACTTTTCCATACAATGGCGAATATAGTCAAGATTCCCTCTGCAAGATTTTTTTTGGTCCCATTCCAGCACTGCCCAATGACAAACATCTATTCACACTCTATAAGCTAGATAAATATACACATGCAGATAAATAGTTGTCTTTTTGATACCCTGAACTCCACTACTGGTCCCTAATTCTCGGATGGGTGGGCAGAAATACCTTGTTGATGGGAGAAGTCAGAGAAGAATGGCTAGATTGGTTTGACAGGGGGGCTACAGTGACCCAAATACCCACTCTATACAACTGTGCGAGCAAAAAATGTGTCTCAGAAATGTACAAAACAGCAAAGCTTGTGTAACATCAGAAGACCACGTTGGGTTCCACTCATGTCAGCCAAGAACAAAGGGTGCAGTAGACACAAACTTACTAAAACTGGACAGTTGACTGGAAAATTTAGACCTGATTAATCTTGATTTCAGGCATATAGATGGTAGGGTCAGAACTGGAAGTTGACAGCATGAACCCAAGGACCCAATCTGCCCGTGTCAACTATCTAGGCTGGCATTTTAATGGCGTGGAGGATGTTTTCTTGGCACAATATGGGCCTTTTAATACCAATCAATCATCAATGGAATGCCAAGTGCATTGCTACATTTTAGTAAGACTTTTTCACAGTTGTGGTTGAAAAGGTTGTATTGGTGGTGGTATTGCCCAACGGATGTGACATGGGGTATCATTATTGTTTTGGCTGCAAACCATAGCAAAAGCATGTAAATAGGCCAGTGGAGTGGCAAAGTTCCCCTTTAGGTGTGACCCCTCTCTTGGAAGGAGTGGGAGGGATTCCATTAGTTGGGTGTTTCTGGGGCTGGGAGCTCAGTTGGGCCTGGAAGCTGGAAGGAGAAGGAGGAGAGCAGAACATGTCCTTTCCTTTCCCTTAAGGGGATACCAGGACAAGAAGACTCTAAGCCACATAAAGCCTCCTAGACTACAACAGTAAAAGGACTTTTCTGGGTCCCCCAGAGCATATACACTAGAGTAAGGTCTTAGGACCTGGACCCAAGCACAACCATTCTCACATGCTAGCTAAGATTAATTAGATGGCCTGTGTTGCAATCCATTGCTCAGTCATAATGTAAAGAACCGTGGCTTAACTTGACTGTAATTGCTACACTACATTCAGTAAAGACATTTCAGCTATATTCCGGCCTTGGAGTGCATTCAATGGCCAACATCTCAGTATGCAGAGAGAGTGAGAGGGTGTTCTACTGGTGTCTTTGGCTGCCAGCCTGGAAAAGGTGCCCAGTTTCTGGAGCCCATTGGAGTGAAG